AGCATTGTGATTTATCTATATTGGGATCAGGAAAAAGCATATTAAAGATCATTCCTTATCTTCTGTAGTATAAAGCTATTACAGAATACCTAAAACTAACAAGTCAGGAAACAGCAAGTAGTTTCATAAAAGTGTAGAGTTAGGGCCAGCTGGGTGGCTAAGTTGGTTAAGTGTTTGCCTTCAGCTCAGGTCATAATCCCAGGATCCTGGGATCAAGCCCCATGTCATGGCCTCCCTGCTTAGTGGGAAGTCTGCTTCTCCCTGTCCCTCTGTCCTACCCCCCCACCCCCGTCTCTCTCGCTTTTGTTCTCTCAAATAAATAAAATCTTTTTTAAAAAGTGTAGAGTTAATTACCCTAAGAAGAAGCTAAAGGAATTTAAAGTATTTGTCTCTGGGGAGTTGGTAGGACTTCAGAAAGGGACTTGTCAGGGAACTGGTCTGATGTTTTATCTGCGTTTATAGAACTATTTGACTAAACAGCTTTGATCTAAAATTTTTAAGATGAATAGAAGAGTAAGTGGATAAAATGAGCTATACAGGCTTTCAAGGAGCTTGACTATGAAGGAAGGTTTTTCCTTAACCATCCGTACCAAAAACTTGTCACTATCCTGACTTTTTCAGATACATCCCATTTCTCCCATCCAGCAGTTCTTGCCTTTAACTGGTCTGCTAACCTCCCCTAGTCTGGCCTTTCTTTGCACTGTGACTAAAGTTGACCTTTTGAGTTCTCTGGTTAAATTGTTCACTGGCTTCCCATTTCCTATAAGATAAACTACACATACTTTAAGGTGAGCTCTGATACTCTGTGTGATCTGATCCTTGTTTGCAGCCCAGCCCCATCTTTCATTACCTCAACCTAGCCATCCTGAGCTATAGGTGTCCTTAGAAGTTATAATTACTCTTTCTGTCCTTTTTAGCTTTGTACTCCTAGAACCCCAGTCTCCCTCAGTTCACCTGACAAAATTCCTTCTTATCCCTGGGGATCGAGCCTGGTATAACAATCACTACCACCCCACGTATCCCTCCTCTACATTCACTGAGCTATGTTCTTCCTTCATATCCCCATAACATCTCCGGTATGCATCTGGTGTCACATTTATCACACTATATTTCCATTGCTTATTTGCTTCCCAGGCTGACTGTTTGTCTCTTGGCTCCTGTGGTTGAGCTCCTTGAATGCTGAGACAGTGGCTTTTTTTCTTCTTCACCCTTCATGTTGTCATCTAGCAAGTTTCCGGGTTATAGTAGTTACTCAGTATGTGTCTAGGAGAGGGAGATGGGTAAGTGGGTGGATTCATAAGTGAACATCTTGTGTTTAAGAAAATTGAAGCTGAACTACATCCTGTTAACCAATAGCACTTAGTGTCAAATTGCAGTTATTTTTCTAGTTGACAGTAACCACTTAACCACTCAGGAGGTTGGGACAGGTATCAAATATGATGCAGGTAATCAACTCCCAAAATCAGGTGTGAATGTGTGTTTATGTTCTCTTGAAGAAAACACTGGTGGAAACCTGTGTTGAATTCCATTTGTACTTTCATTCCTGAAAGAATAATAATGCGTTACTAGGTCATACTAAAAATAAAAGACCAGGACGTAGATTCATGGTTGGTAAAGGATGGGTGGAGGAAGGATGAGGAGTGATAAAACAGCTGTGGGGTTTCTGTTGGGGACGACGAGCATGTCCTCGAATTAGACACTGGTGTTTGCACAACCGTATGAATGTACTGAAAGCCACTGAATCTGGACACTTTAAAATGGTGACTTTTATAGTCTGTGAATTAAACCTCAAAAAATTAAAACAAAAATTAGATATTCCAAAGTTAAAAGTTAAAGACATTTCAGAAGCTCTAAGTGATTATCTAAATGGCTTTGACAGAAAATCAGTTTCTAGGCCATTACAGGACATCTGAGTTTGTGTTAGATAAAGTAAGGAAGCACCCTGTAGTTTTTATTTTATAATTTTTCTGTCATTTTTTGCTGTTTATGCTATATCCTTGAGCTACCAGACAGGTTTTCTTTCTTATTTCTCCCTCTCTCCCTTCCTCCCTTCCTTCCTTTCCCTCCCTCCCTTCTTTCCTTCTTTCTGCCTTCCATCTTCCATCGTTCGTTCCTTCCTTCCTTTCTTTTTTTTTTTTTCTAAGATTTTATTTATTTATTTGACAGAAAGAGAGAGAGCACAAGCAGGGGGAGCGGCAGGCAGAGCGGGCGAGGGAGAAGCAGGCTCCCTGCTCGGCATGGAGCCTGATGTGGGACTCGATCCCAGGACGCTGGGATCATGACCTGAGCCAAAGGCAGGCACCTAACTGAATGAGCCACCCAGGCACCTTTCCTTTCCTCCTTCCTTTCAAAGAAGTCAGCCATAGGTCACTCAGTAAAGAGTCTTTGGTTTGATGTACACAGAGAATGTTCTTAATTTTAAAAGAAGAATGTTGCTTTAATTTTAAAATACAAAAGTTAGGGGTACCTGGGTGGCTCGGTCAGTTAAGCATCTGCCTTGGGCTCAGGTGGTCCTGGGATCAAGCCCCCATATTGGGCTCCCTGCTCAACAGGGAGTCTGCTTCTCCCTCTCCCTCTGGCCTTCCCCTGCTCATGCTTTCTCTCAAATAAAAAATATTTTAAAATATTTTATTTATTAAATTAAAAAATAAAATATAAAATGTAATGACCAAGTAGTACTGACTTAATTCATAGATAATTGTAAAATGTGTTTGTCTAAATTCTAACCTTGTCTTTTGAATCACTGGATTCGTCTTTGCTTGTGAGGAGCCAGGAGGCCCAAGATTCCTTCAGTTAGAACTAAGTTTCTCCTATACCCACATTCTCAGTTTGGTCTCATATGTCCTATTGGTTGAACTTGTCACTCATTATGGTATAAATTTATTGTTTTGTTCATCCATTTAACAAATATTTGTTGATGCCTGTGTGTTCCATCACTCTCTCTTGTAGGCACTGGGCATACACTGTGCTGAGCAAGGCATAGCTCCTTTTAGAGCTTTTGTTATAGATGGTGGCCAGTGTTTTTTTTCTAAAAACTCACTTATTGATGATAGTTGAAGGGTTAGAGCTTTTTGCTGGCTTGTTTTTTTCTTTAGGGGGGAAGAGAAGAAATACTACTCATCCTTCGTATTTTATTTATTCACAGATTTTTTTTTTCCAGTACTCCTATACGGAATTAAGTACTTATTTCTGTGTTGTTCCCAACACAGGTGATATAAGCCTCTGTTATACTTCTAAAAAGCAGATATGGCGGGGCGCCTGGGTGGTTTAGTGGGTTAAAGCCTCTGCCTTCGGCTCAGGTCATGATCCCAGGGTCCTGGGATCGAGCCCCGAATCGGGCTGTCTGCTCAGCGGGGAGCCTGCTTCCTCATCTCTCTCTCTCTCTCTGCCTACTTGTGATCTCTGTCTGTCAAATAAATAAATAAAATCTAAAAAACAAGAACAAAAAACGAGATCTGGTCATGTCATTCCCTTAATTTCCCTTCAGTGACTCTCGGGTTGCAGTTCAGACAAGGCTTACAAGGGTTGTCAGAATCAGTCTTCCATTGAACTTTGAGTTCCTCTAACATGCTCTGTTCCTTTTGGTGAGCTTATATGCATGCTGTTTCGTTTACCTAAAATAGTCTTCTCTCTACCCCTTTACTGTGGCTAACTGCTAATCTCTCAGGGTTTCATCTTAGATAGCACTTTCCATAGTACACTTTACTTGGCCAAACTCCCCAACGCAGTCTGGGGTCCTCCTCCCCTGTACTGCTGGTATACTTTGTATTGCCGTCACCCAAATGCTCACACTGTTTGCCATTGACCATAGCCACCACTGGATAGTGTAATCTTTTTTTTTCTCCTTTTGTTTTGTCCCCTAGTTCCTAGTACAGTACAAACTCAAACATGTTTTTCTGTTTCCTCTAATAGCCTATGAAGACCTTGAGTTCAGACTGTGTGTGGTATAGTGCAAGTGCTAAGCACGTTTCAGTGCATCAGTGAGTGAGTGATTATATTGTTTATTCTTGGAGTATAGCCAAGAGAAAGGCTTGGAACTGCATCTCCCTCCCCCGGTCTCCCGGTCAGCATCATACAAAGTCTGTGCTCTGCCTCTCCATCTGAGCTGGGTATAAGGGCCACTTATGCTACTTTTCAGAAATTGAATCATACATTGAAAATTGTTAAGTAAATCTGCAAAAGGTATGGTAAAATTCAGCACTCATCTGTAAATAGTAATGGCTTCAGATAGTTTGGAGTTTAAAACATGTTAAAAAACAGTTGTGTAAAGTAGACCTTATGGAGTATGTGTCAAGACAAAGGAGGGTTTTAAAGGAATGAAGATAGATAGGTCTGCGTACTAGACGCTTGGCATCTCCCCTTCATAAAACTGATCTGTGGAAGCCCTGTGGATTGCGATATCTATGAGTAAACCCACCAAGTCTGAGCTTCTGGGTTAGACTTCTTGATTTAATAGAATTTGGCTTGTACAACCTTATTAATGTTTTCTCTGAAACCTTACCAGGGATTTTAATTTTAACTTTTTTCTTGAGTTAAAAAAAAAAAAAAAAATTGGGCGCCTGGGTGGCTCAGTGGGTTAAGCCGCTGCCTTCGGCTCGGGTCATGATCTCAGGGTCCTGGGATCGAGTCCCGCGTCGGGCTCTCTGCTCAGCAGGGAACCTGCTTCCCTCTCTCTCTCTCTCTCTCTGCCTGCCTCTCCATCTACTTGTGATCTCTCTCTGTCAAATAAATAAATAAAATCTTAAAAAAAAAAAAAATTGTCCTTAAGTGGAAAAAGAAACAAGTATGCCTGAATGGTAGGGTTTTATTTTGTCTGCCCATTTTTTTCCTTTTATCTGTAAACACGATGACATTTTTATCTTACTTTTCATTAACTGAATATGCTTTATCTGACTTTGTATAATGGACTTTAATCACTTACAGTAACCATCGATGAAAAATGTCATACTATTCTAACTGGAGTTTTTGTTTGTTTGTTTGTTTGTTTTTCTTGTTCGTAGTTGTTGTGGAATTACAAGCTGAATCTAACTACAGACCCCAAATTTGAATCTGTGGCCAGAGAGGTTTGCAAATCTACCATATCAGAGGTAGGTTGTAAAAGATTTTTATGGGTATTTAATGGCTTAGAAGAAAACATTACATCCATTGACCTGGCCAGTCATTAAGGGAGGAATGACTGGACTCAGTTACTTTACTTTTCTTGGAATTCCCATCTGTATTGGCTGAGAGAGAAGCCACAGTGGCGGGGAGTATAATCAGCCTCCTTTTTGTTAATGTTCACCTACATTTATCTTGGGATGCTGTTGATTCAGACAGATTCAAAATCGGGCTCTGTTGATCCCCAAACAGAGGACACAACTGTTTCTGTCATCAGTGCTCCACTCATACTTTCTGCAGTCTGCTGATGTCTGGAGCTTTTCAGAATGGTCTCCCCAGGAGGCCTGTAAATGTTTCTGAGTTACACAGTGGGTTCAGTTGAACCATAGAGGCATATGCTTCAAATAATAGGAATTGACATTTAAAAAGTTTGTGACAAGAATTGTATCTATTGTTATAGATGGGTGTTGAGTATAAAAACAAAAATAATTAATGAAAATGTATAGCATTGTACAGATGCTAATTGGGGAAAATTTTCAATTGTCTTGGTTCAGTGTGAACTACAGATAATATGGTTAGTTGTATATACCAGTTTGATTGTCATGTGAGTCTATCCAGATTCATCAGAATAATTTCCCTCTTCACTGGCTTATAAAAGACACACACACACACACGTACGCATAACTGGCTTTCTTATAATGTTTATGTAATGATGGTCCTCTTGTAACCTTTTGGGGTTTTGTGGTTTTGTGAATGATTTCAAGTAAAAATGAGAACTCATCCCTTCCTAGAGGGAGATTATACTGAAGTCAGGAAAATTAAATATCAGGAAGAACACAGTTGTCAACGAAATGTTTTACTTCACATCTCCTTCTCTTTCCTATCCTCTTTCTTGCAATTCTGCTTGCAAGGAGAAAAACAGCATCACAAGAATACCTGCAAACTGCAAACCAAACTTTATTTACTCTCCATTTTTTTTAAAATTTTATTTATTTTTTGACAGAGACACAGTGAGAGAACACAAGCTGGGGGAGTGGGAGAGGGAGAACAGGCTTACTGTGAAACAGGGAGCTGGACATGGAGCTCCATCCTGGGACCCTGGGATCAGGATCTGAGCTGAAGGCAGACGCCCAGTGACTTAGCCACCCAGGTGCCCCTCTCCATTGCTGAGCCAAATACTGCTGGCTTTCCTCCTGCTTCATGTCAGAAATAGGGATGGCAGCACTGCTCCCCGGCCACTTCACAGTTTACTCCTATTCGTGACATGTTGATGCCTTAATATGGTGTTTCTTGCTGTTAACATAGAAATTTTCCTTCTTTGTATTAAGCTTCTAGCTAATAGAATGATTGAAGAAAAGCACCAGCTTTTAATTCAAACACTCCCCCCTGTCCTAATTGATGATGAACTGAAATGCAAAGAGGTATTACATCTCTGTGTTTCAGTAGAACCTCAAGTGATTAAAGCTAAATATACATTTATGTTCTCATTGGGGCTCCAATTTAAAATGTGCTCCTGGGGCACCTGGGTGGCTCAGTGGGTTGGGCCGCTGCCTTCGGCTCGGGTCATGATCTCAGGGTCCTGGGATCGAGCCCCGCATCGGGCTCTCTGCTCAGCAGGGAGCCTGCTTCCTCCTCTCTCTCTGCCTGCCTCTCTGCCTGCTTGTGATCTCTCTCTGTCAAATAAATGAATAAAAATCTTTAAAAAAAATAAAAATAAAAAAATGAAATGTGCTCCTGATTTTTCTTCAGATATGTAAACTATTGATTGCCCAGTATAAGAGCTGTAGTAAGAATGCTTGCACTTCACTAAGTTTTAAAACCCAGGCTTCTATTGCTAGCTCTTTGTTCTTATACAGGCTTTTCTTTGGTTGAATTACAAATGCTGAGATTTTTTTCAAGCAGCTATTCCTCCTTTTACTTGTGAAACTTAACTCTATTTTGCTCAAAATCAAAACAAAAGCCTTTTCCTGGAAATACATTTATTACCCTCTTTCTGGGTGTTTCAAAACAAAAAACAAAAAACCCTCAAGGTTAAGTTGAAAGAGTTGCATTCATCTTGATTGTGGAAGATCTCTGCTGCCTCTTGAAGCCAGAGCAAGACTATTTTCTTAAATTCTCAAGTTTGCTTCTTTGAAAAGTAAACACCATTTTCTGTCTTGAGTTGAGTGTTTCACTTGGTTTGGATTTGATACAAGGACTGGACTGAACGTAAAGAGACCCAGTGGGCTATAGGATATAGTGAGTGTGTGGTATATTCTTCACCAGGCACCTTTTGGAAAGGGAGAGTGTATTTGTTTTTGCCTTCTGTATGTATTTAGGATAGGTAGTGTGATAGTAGAGAGTGGTTACTCTTGGTTTCAAAAAGCCAATAAAACATTTTCTTCTTGTTTATATTAAAAATAAACATTTACATTTGGGCCCTTTACTCTTGTCAAAACTGTCCTTTTTGTTTGTTTTTAATCTCTTCAAATGCGGTAGGATTTTTCCAAACAACTTTCCCTGTTTTATAATTCAAGCTTACAACCCATTAAGTAGATTTTACTTTTTTGTGCCTGAATTTCAGCTTTTTTTTTTTTTTTTTTTTTTTTTTTTTGGCTCATTGGCTTCATTCGCACGTGTGGTTTGGGATGCACTTTGCAGGAACCCACACCATGTGGAATTATGCTGGGCTTGACCCAGTAGAACATGTGTCTGAACCACCCAAATTAGACTTACAGTGGCCTCTCCTTTCTCAGACTTCTTCCAGACTACACTGAGCATCATTTTAAACATGTTTCTGTTCCAGACCACAGTGGTGAAGCTGGGATTCTACTAAATTCAAAAACACATGTCTAAATCCACAGTTAATTTAGAACATATTAATGTCATGTCGAGAAGTAATATTATGCCTTCCCGCCTGCCTTCTCTCAGCCATTAGGTTTACCTGACACTAATAGTGTTCTGTGTAGCTTGGCTTGGGACGTGCCCCTAGACTTCAGTTCTGCACCTGTTTTCCAGAGCTGTTTCCCAGATTAATCTCCTCACTGTCCATTGCATTCTTTGCATGGATAAAGGGACTTCTCAATAGAACCATTCTAAAGCTATAGATGTTAAAAGTTTTTTTTTTAATTATATATCAGTAAAGCTCAAATTCTAGAAATTTGTTGCCAAACACATTAATCAGATATTTCCTAGACCCCACAACAATCTGAGGAGGTATGACACTATTTTCTTTATAACGAATGTATTTCTAAGTGCTTTCCTCTTTTTCTCCCAAATATAGATGGGAAATCAATAAGAGAATAGCAGACATTCTCTTTTGTAAAAGTCATTTGATAGAATAAAACACTTGTGTAAAACAGCCACTTTCTTTGGAGCAGATTAAAGAATGTGCTGATGAACCGGTTGGGAAAGGTTACTTGGTTTCCTGCTTGGTGGATCACCGAGGCAACATCACTGAGTATCAGTGTCACCAGTATATCACCAAGATGACAGCCATCATTTTCAGTGATTACCGTCTGATCTGTGGCTTCATGGATGACTGCAAAAATGATATCAACATTCTGAAATGTGGCAGCATTCGGCTTGGAGAAAAGGTATCTACTCTGTTTATATAGGCTTCACCAAAGAGGTCCTATGAACTTGATGAATGAAAAGTTTTTTATACCTGGCATGGGAAAAATTTAGCCTGGAGGTGGCCTTAAAAGTGGAGGTCCAGTCAGCCGCAAGATCTAAGGCTAGTTGACCCGTAAATGCATTTCATCTCTCTATAGTGTTTCAGTACTATATGGGGAAACAGAGGAATTAATATCAGCCAAGAGTAGTAAATACTAAACCAGTTGCTGGTTACCTGTAGTGTTCCCTAGCAGAGCATTTTGTTGTTTTGTGGACAAAGTAGTTGGAGTAGCAGAGACTTGAGTTGTCTAACCCTTCTCTGCGTGTACCTATTTGCTGCTATAAAAAAATTACTTAGTAAACACATTGGTATAAAAGAAGATTTAAATATTAGAAAAGTTTAAGTTATATGAAGGTACTTCTGGCTTGTGAGAAGTAAGATACTCTATAAATGTTATTTGTTGCTATTTTTATCTTGTAAGAACTAGTTTTAGTAAAGACAAGAAGGAAAATACTAGTTGGTGACTTCTGTCTTAATTATGTTTGGTCTTATTTTTGTTCTTGTGAGTCTGTTGTCCAGAAGGTCACAATGAAGGTTTGGCTAGGTTTATTCTAAATCTGTTGGCTCAGCAAAATGAAAGAAACTCCTGAGAAGTAACAGATGCTGGGGGAGAGGTGGTCTGAGGCATATGTCTGACCTCAGCTATTAGTTGCCACTGCTCATTAATCTGCTCTTTAGGAAATATGATGGAAAATAAAATCCTTTGTCTCTTTGCCCTCTGTTTGTTCATTGCCCCGTGATTTGCTGGCTTCTGTCACTGACAGAAGGTAAGGGGGATGGTGTTGGAATATTAGAGCTGCACACACCAGTTCGGGTGACGGTTTTAGTGCTGGTTATTGTCTGCCTGTCACCAAATACCCTTTCCTTTATACCAGCACAGGGCTCTGGCCCTTTCACAGGGTACCTATGGGTCAGTCTTGAGAGCACTGGGAACTTGGCATAGAGCTTTTGGCAGCTTAAGAAAGGCCAGTTTTAATAAAGAAGGCAGATTTCTTCCTTCCCAGCAGACTCTAGAAATGGCACAAAAGCACTTAAGGTACCCTAATAATTCAGGAAGCTCTTCTGACTTTAGTTACGGTGTTAGAGATCATGTCCAATTTAGTATCTCACTCCTTTTAAAAGCTTCATATAAGTGTTCCAAACACCTTTTTTTAGGAATCAATAATGACACTTGTCCATATTTGTGATTAGTGGTCCACACTGTAGAGTAGACCATTACAGTTCACCTCTTTTTGTAGTAGTTTTTCCCTGTTGACACCAAGATAGTCACTGGTTAGCTTCCCACTAGCAATCTGAATTGTCAGTACAAAACCTGCTTTCAACTACGTGTTTGAGTTACTAAGGTTTAGTGCCAGAAACGATCACAGAAAACAGTAGTACTAGAGCCCGAGAACGGGACAGTGAGGATTGTCTGCCCAGCTTCGTTAAAATAACAAAAAAGTTTCTGTGGATCATCAAAATGCACATTTTTAAAAATTTTTATTTTTTCAGTGTTCCAAGATTTCATTGTTTATGCACCATACCCAGTGCTCCAAGCAATATGTGCCCTAGGCTCACCTACCCACCCACCCCACAAAATGCACATTTTTGTCATGTTTATCTCATGCTACAGGTGAATTTCTGTTTATACCAAGCCCCTATCCTAGCACAAAGGCTTTCTGTATTTTGGGGACAGTAAGATAGATTCATGCTTGCACTCTTGAAAAAACATGTTCCTTCCTATATAATCCATTCTGGTGCTACAGCCATGTTTAAAAGTGAGGGAGGCATGTCCTCAGCCCTTACTGGCTTTTCTAACTATAGTTTATTTCTCTGAGGCCAGTTATTTAGATATGCATATTATCCTGAAAATTAATGAATCAGCTTCTTGCTTGTTGATTTCAAATTTGGCACTGAAGCTTGCAAACTCCTCTGTGGACTGGCTTTGAACGGACTTCTTCCAAAGGTCAGAGGAGAGGGGTAATGGCTAATGTGTTTGTACCCTGCTTCTGGATGAATGTAAAAGAGTCATGATGTCAAAATTATGATTTTTTTTTTCAAAATGTTAATATATGTAGATTTGAGAGCAAAGATTATATATTAATAAATTTTTTTCTAAATAAATACAATTAAAATGACAGATCTTCAAAAGTAAAAGTGTAAATGATTTACATCATCTGAAGAAAAAGTACAATGTGCTATCCAATACTGGAACTTAATTGTGGACATGTCCCACATTATTACTACTTTTAGACTTTTCACTTGGTAATTCTATAATTTTATCATTCTGTGCTTTTAACTGGCTACTTTGAATAATTTGGACAGTTTTTCTCTCCTTCTGTAGTAAGAAAGATCACAGAAGACACCAAAAATACTGAACTAGAGAGTGGTTTATAACAGAGATGAAAACTGAGTTCTTCCTTTTTGGGATTAGTGTTATTTTTCTCTGTTCCTTAAATAATAACAACAAAAAAGGACAAGGTTTATGGGGAAGAAAAGATATTACCTATCAAATTGCTAAAAACTGATCAGGACACTTTGTAGTTTTAAGAAAGACATTTATTTCACCACAGTAGAAGTCCCTTTTAAGTCCATTTATAGGATCATTTGTTATTCCTATGTCAAGCCAATGTATCAATAACTTAACCTTTTTTAATCTAAGTAATTTTATTTTCCTCTAGGTGGTGTGCCAGTGTGTAGTTTACCTCCCTTGCTTTCATTCTTATTCAGTAATTAGCCATATAGTCTTGTCAAATATTTGCATACGTTTCAGTTATATAACTAAAATGAGCTGAACTCAGAGACTTGAGAGAACCGAGAAGAATTCTTGAAGTATATTTATTTGAAAAAATTATCTAAATTTAGCATGAATGAAAACATCTAATGGAAATGATGGTATGGCCCAGCACCAATATGTGGGGCTACAGTTGCTGTAATTATAATTAAATTTCAGATTCCTTAAGGGACCTCAAGCCACGATGATGCTGCCTTTATTTAAATCCAAGAAGAAGCATGTGGAACCATTAAGAAATATAATAGCCCTAAATAGATATTCTTACTGGTGGCACATTTAAAACAGTTACAGACCCTAAGTATACAGGGAAACACTTAGACTCATTAAGTGGAAATCATGTGGTGCCAGGACTAACGGCTAAATCTGAATCAGGAGTTGACTGTCAGATTATTATTTTCAATCCCTTTTATATGATTTTTTTAAAAGATTTTATTTATTTCTTTGATAGACAGAGATGACAAGTAGGCAGAGAGGCAGGCAGAGAGAGAAAGTGGGGGAAGCAGGCTCCCTGCTGAGCACAGAGCCCGATGCAGGGTTCCTGGGATCATGACCTGAGCCAAAGGCAGAGGCTTTAACCCACTGAGCCACCCAGATGTCCCTCAGCCCCTTTTATATGATTAAAACTTACTGCTAGCAGCCGTCCAAGTGAGTTTTCATGGGCTACTAAACCTTGGTGTAGGATATTTTGTTGTTTTATAAACTAATTCATGTTTATAATAATCTTTTGTATACCATAAACAGTAAGTGCCTGATAATGTTTCTGTCGAAATGTTACCATATTTGTTTTTCCTTTGGAAAGTGGAAATGCATAGGCCTTGCTTAAGTGGGCCATAGTCAGACATACTTGAGTGTCGCTCATAAATTAGGAAGAAAAATTAAGCCTTATTCTGGATTTCTGGGGTTTGTGTTGACTCTTCTCTCTGACCTTTTTTGTCACTTTGTCCCTCAGAGTTTGTTTATCTTGTTCACAATTGCCCTCCAAAAAATCTTTTCGGTCCTCTCAGGTTTTTAATGCAGTAAATAGAATCATACAACTAGTGTTCAAGGTTCAGGTGCAGATAGAGGACGGGGGCATGAGAATCTGCTAGTAGAGTGTGCTTCCTGATCTTTTTTGGGTGAGCACACCTTTTGAAAATTTAATGAAAGCGGTGAGCCCTCCTCAGGAAAAATGTATAATACCTGCATACAAATTTTAGGAGTTTTATAGAACCCCAAGGTCTAGAAAAATAAATAATGGACTGTTAGCTAGGCACCTTACCTTCCGCAACCCAAGACGAGTCGGTAACCTCCTTTAGGCCTGTGTTGACTCCTCTGCGCAAGAGATACCACAGCTCTCACCCCTTTCCACAGGTATCAGAGGAGAGAACATGGACATTTTCGTGGAAATACTTAGAAATTAATGTGCTATCAAACAAAATGCATTATAACAAAGCTTAGGGGGAAAACTACATACAACTTTTGTTATTGTTGAATTTTTGCTTCAAGTAGATGTTTCCCTGCCTGGTTTTGGGACTCCTTTTATTACCTACAGATGATTTCATAGGCACAGTATTTTACCAAAACAAGATGGTGTGTGCGTAAATAAGAGATCGCATATACTTCCGGCTGCTTTGGTTAGCTGTATTTATAGTTACAGCTTTCAAGTGTTTAAAGCATGTCTTCTGAGTAGAGCAGATTGGGACTCTTGAGTAGAAATATTTAGGGGAAATTTCTCATATTTTGAGTGAATGAATGCTTGTGGTTGCTATGGGGCTGATGCAGTGTACAATTAAAGATAATTGGATGGTTTCAAGAAAGCTCTCAAACTCAGTTTGTATAAAAGGTGGTAATCTCATTAAATCGTATTAAGATGAATCTAACACATCAAAGCAAGTATTATGCTACAAATCGTACATATAGGGGTCTTTGTGGACAGCATAGAGTAGAAAAATGAGAAAGACGTCTCTAACATCTTTTTTCAATGGATTTTGTGGTGGGTTTGTTTTGTTTTTTTTTTCACAAGACTAGAAGCATTATTGGGGAAATACCTCTCACCCTTTGAGGTCAATTTACAGAGATTTCTGCAGTGTTAATTCAGTATTGATATGAACCATGATCAGAGCATTGGGCTGATGTAAATTCTTAGAATTTTTCTGACGTTTTAAACGTAAAGAATTCAGGTTTCTATTTCTAGTGCTAACTAAACTATACTTAAATCTCCCAGGACCTCTCTTTGCATTTGTTGCATGCAAGTATCTGTTCTCAAGAAGAGTGTTGAGGGCATTTTCTATAACTGCCACAGTGTGGTTGGTTCCCACCTCCTTTCTCAGCAGAGTACCAATAAGCCAACTATATATTGAATTGAGGTGGTGGTGGTTGTTTTTTTTTCAAGCAAATGATGTTTAATTGAAACTCATTGTGGTGAGAGTTTTACAATATTACTACCCTTGCTATTTTAGGATGCACATTCACAAGGTGAGGTGGTATCATGTTTGGAAAAGGGCCTAGTGAAAGAAGCAGAAGAGAGAGATCCCAAGATTCAAGTCTCTGAACTCTGCAAGAAAGCCATTCTGCGGGTGGCTGAGCTGTCCTCAGATGACTTTCATCTAGACCGGCATTTATATTTTGCTTGCCGAGATGATCGGGAGCGCTTTTGTGAAAACGTGAGTCAGCTCAGAAGCTCTTCTTCTCCTTTAAAATGTTTTTAATACCCTAGTCCAAAGTGAAATAAACCAGCACACTCTCCTATGTAGATAAGGCAGTGAAATGGAAGGCGGAGTTCCCAGGATAACAGAGAACGATGTTAGATGTTCAGCCTTGATGATATAACATCTAGTTAACAGTTGGCTTCCGACAGTCTCCACACATTATTTTTTCTACTTTATCTCACTTCTCAATTTTAGATCTTGGAAGTCTGTGTTATATATATATACTGGAATCCCATTTTACTGGGGAATCCTATTCACACCTATTCCATGGCTAAAACTGCCGTATTGCATGCTACATCTTTTTGGCGAAGATGAACAAAACAGCAGGTGGCTAACTTATAAAACTAAATCCTTGATTACTATCTCGAGACCTTACAGAAGACTTGCTAACGCTTATCTCCATCCTTAGAACAAAGAGCTGAGACTAATTTGTGTATACTCCCACCCTCTGCTCTTGAATTATTAGCAGCTTTAACTGTCAGAGCCACTGATTATGAGTTTTATGGACTCCAGCATAAAGTCGTAAGAAAAGACTCACAGACACTTCTCTTGGTTCCCTAAGTAACAGTGTATCTGAGAACAAATGACAATAGCCAAGCATCATGGGAAAATTTTTTTATCTGTCTGCAACACTGTTTTTTCCAAAGGTTACTAAATGTTATAAATGGCTGAGCCATTTGTTCAAAGGCACTGACATTTATAATAATTTAAAGAAAGTTCTTTATAGGATTGTGGATAGTGCCCCGTCTCACTACTTAGCCAGTTGTCGTCATCCACATGATCATGTCTGTGTTCATCTTACAGACGCAAGCTGGTGAAGGCAGAGTGTACAAATGCCTCTTTAACCATAAGTTTGAAGAATCCATGAGTGAGAAAGTAAGTATTACTTTGAAACAAACCAATATTTTATTCATTTCTTTAAAGTTTTCTTAAATCCTCTCAAACAACAGTCTTATAAATTTGTATCAGAGTATGAAATGGCTGATAAAGCTTACCCTTTTCAGAGGCAAGATATTTGACTTTTAGTAGAGAACCTAACCATATTTTGCTTAAGCCAAGAAAATGAAGCTTTGTAATATCTGGACATTGGGAAGCCCATTGGGAATCAACTTGGGGAGTAAAATTGGAGAATTGTGTATCATAGTTACACTAAAGCCAGCCCTTCATACTCAGGAAGCTCAGGCTAACCAAACCAATGTGCTTTACAGGTAATTACCTATTTAATTTTTCAGCAGCTCTTTCATTAAGCATTCTCATTACTATTAGTCCTCTGTCCCTGGATGAATGCAAGAATCTTTTATGACTTTTAAAAAGAAAATTGTTCTTGGTTTTGCTCTCCTGCCATTTGCTTTCCCATACATCTGAAGAAGTGTTTCAGTTGTTTATATCATTTACTATTGAATAATTCTATTTTAAAAGCACAGAATGTAGCAGCATAACATAAAAATGTTATGTCAGCTGCCACTTTGATTTGTGTGAACTTGACTTGAGGGACACTGTGGAAAAGGAACAGGGCTTGGTGAAGTCACTGTATTAGAGCCCACCAAGGACTCGTGTGTGTAGGACAGCTGCTCTGCTACTGCAGCAACCACCGGCCACTCAGGTAGGATTCCAGGCCTTCCCCATCCATGCATCCCTACCTCCACACTAGTTTCGCACACTTGGATTTGAGGCTAACCAAATTTAAAGGTAGGCATTTTGATGACAGCTGCAGTTGTTGACATGTACTTGGCCATGAGCCTCTGCTGGCCCTAGAGGTCCCTGTGAACAGCAGAGCCACCTGAGTGGTCTTACAACTCTGTTGTTGCACTCTTTATTCAGTGTCGAGAAGCGCTGACGACTCGCCAAAAGCTTATTGCCCAGGATTATAAAGTCAGTTATTCGTTGGCCAAATCCTGTAAGAGTGACCTGAAGAAATACCGGTGTAATGTGGAAAACCTTCCACGGTCCCGGGAAGCCAGGCTCTCCTACCTTCTCATGTGTTTGGAGTCAGCTGTGCATAGAGGTAAGAGTTCATTTCTCTTTATCTTTTTCAGTCCTTTTTGGATTCACATCCTAAAGCCTCTTGTACCTGTAAATGTTATTTTCTTCCTGCATTTGCTGTTTTGAGTGCACCTGTGCCTTGCGACTCAGAAACCTTTCTTTGTAAGCATAACTCCAAGAACTGAAGGCTTGGTGTCCCGAAGCCTTTTTGAAGGCTCTTTCTTTTAGCTCAACAATCTCCAATTTTTTTTTTCTATGTCTTTATTTGAGAGAGGGAGTGGGCGAGAGAGAGACAGAGAGAGAAAAGGAGCAGGGGGAGAAGCCGAGAGAAGCAGAGTCCCTGCTGAGCAGGAAGCCCAACATGGGGCTCAGTCCTGGGACTTCAGGATCATGACCTGAGCTGAAGGCAGACACTTAATTGACTGAGCCACTCAGGTGCCCCCCTGCCCGCTTTTAAAGAAGGTATATTTCTCAAATCCAGTGATTTTAATTTTTTAAAATGCATAGTCAACATTTTAAGGAGCGTCAGGGTAGCATAATGATTTAACATACAAGCTTTGGGTCAGAGAGACATAGCTTTAATCATCAAATTAACTGGCTGGGTGGCCATTGTTTACATTTCTTAATCTCTCCCCAAACTTGTTTTTCTTATCTATAAAATAAAACTAATATTTATGGTGAGGATTTATGTATTTGTTTATGAAAATTAAATGAGGTTTTTTGGAATAGCACTTAGCATTCAATAAATGATAGGTACTATTATTGTTACAACACTAATGATATTAAGAAACTAGAAATTTTGGGGGCACCTGGGTGGCTCAGTGGGTTAAAGCCTCTGCCTTTGGCTCAGGTCATGATCCCAGAGTGCTGGGATCGAGCCCCACATCAGGCTCTCTGCCCAGCAGGGAGTCTGCTCCCCTTCCCCCACCTGCCTCTCTGCCTACTTGTGATCTCTCTCTGTCAGATAAATAAATAAAATCTTAAAAAATAAAAAAAAGAAACTAGAAATTTTTGAGTCCGCAAGTCAACCCCTGACAAAAGAGCCGAGATGGCTGTATAGATGATCGGGGCTGTCTTTTGTAATATTGGCTACAAGCTATGAAGATGAAATGTCTCGGGACCTTAAAACTCTGAGCTTTTGATGAATTTTTTTTTTTCCATACCTGGATAGTGGGGAAAAACTCCTAACCTTGAAAGCAGTGGAGTAGCACCAAGGGACAGTGCATGGTCTTGAATTGAATATCAAACAAAGGATGTTATAGAGACAATTGGAGAATGTTGATTATGGTCTGGATACTAGATAAAACGGTCCTAAAATGAAAGGTAGAGTTTATTGACTTACAAAAGAATATTATAAAATAGTATACATAATACCATCTAATCTGGGTGTTTAAAAAAATGTTCTTAAACTGTAAATTAACAAGAAAAGAATGACTCAGTAAATACACGGCCAAAGGCTACATGCAGATAATTCAGAAAAGTTACACAGATTGCTAATGTTAAAAAGACTGACCTTATTAAGTGTTGATAAGGGTATGGAAGAACTGGACTATTGAACACTACTGATGGGAACTTAAAAGTAGTAAAATCATTTTGGAAAATAGTTTGCCAGTTTCTTAAAAGTTAAATATATTACCTACCATATGACTCAGCCGTATTTACCTAAGATATACAAAAGCATATATGCATATAAACTCTTATACATGAATAACCAGAAGAGCTTTACTTGTAATAGCCCAAAACTGGAAATGATCCAAATGTCCATCAACAGTTGAAGGGATAAGCACATGGCAGTATATCCACATAATGGAATCATATTACTTGGCAATAAAAAGGAATGAGTTGATAATACATGGATGAATTTAAAAATAGTTATGCTGAGTGGAAGTTAGACCAAAAAAGTGCATACTCTATGACTGTGTCTATATCAACTTCTAAAAAGTGGAAACTGGTAAACTAATCCGTAGTCACAGCAAGCAGCTCATTTTTCCTGTAGGAGGGGTCTGGGGTAGAGAGGGAGGGACAGAGTCAAGGACCACGAGAAACTTCTGAAGTTAATGGATATGTTCAATATCTTGATTGTGGTGATGGCTTCAACAACATACACATATGTCAAACCTCTTCAGTTGTATGCTTTGAAAATACAGCCTATTTTATGTTAATTATACCTTGGTAAAGTTGGGTTTGTTGTTGTTGTTGTTGTTGTTTTTAATTTTCTTAAGTCTTCCCAGTTGGCATTTTTTGCTCAAGGAAGGAGGCTGGGGTGGCTATAGTGAATGTTTGAAATGTGGTCATTTTCACAGGCTTTAATTCTGTAGGCCATTAGGGATTGTTCTTGTCTTTCATTGTGACCCCCATAATTATCTTATTGATAAGACTCCCATTGGCAAAGCATTTGCAGTATTAGTTTAGTAGTATAAAATCTATATAATGCAGAACACTGTCAAGATAAACCCTAGTCTCTGGAGTCTTAAACTCATTTTATGCCAATGAAGCTCTTTCTGTAGTCTGAGCTTTTCAGTCTAGGTGATGGCATGACTGGTATATTATATTCTAGAGGAGAACATGTGCTTTTCTGTGCAGGGATACCTGATCGTAATGCTCACCATCCATAATGTTGTGACTTCGCTCCTAACTTAGGGCGCCAGGTGAGCAGCGAGTGCCAGGGGGAGATGTTAGATTACCGGCGCATGTTGATGGAAGACTTTTCTTTGAGCCCTGAGATCATCCTGAGCTGTCGGGGGGAGATTGAACACCACTGTTCTGGATTACATCGAAAAGGGCGAACTCTGCATTGTCTGATGAAAGTAGTTCGTGGGGAAAAAGGGAACCTTGGAATGAACTGCCAGCAGGCGGTAAGGAAAAATTTTCTACTGCCCTTTCTTACGTTACGTTCTGTCAGGTGAGGAGGCTCTTTCTGACACTGTCCCAGCTTCCTTTATCTGGATCATTTGTGACATCACATGAACATCGGGTACTAAGAACCAGACACAGAATATTGTGTCTGTGAGGCATATTGTGGCAATATTGTGAGGCATATCTTAATAAGAACGTGGAATTTGATTACAGAGGAGAAGTTTCGTTCATAAACAATAAATGGGGCTATATACGTAAAGAAATAGATAAAATGCATTGTCTGCTGCAGTTTTTAAAGGAGAGGATAGCTTGCCAGATGGAATTTCTAAATTGAGAACCAAGGCAAACCAGGTTCTGGTAAATCAGAAAACGTCCTCCACCAAAAGAGGATTTGCCTGTCTCTATAGGTTCAATTGAGTTGAAGCTGAGAGAGAGCAGTAACAATTGAAATTTTCTAAGAGTTTGTTTTTATTACCGATATGTAACATGCCATGAATTCCTGGCCTGCAGGATCAAGAGAGCATGTCATTTTCAAAAACCACACCATTTTTCTTGTTAGTAAGACAACTGTGCATGGAAGGGCCTTTCTTTCTCTGTCCCCAAACTACCGTCAGTTCTATAAAGATATTTAGAAAAAACTAGTGTACTTCTTGAGAAGAGAAAGTTAATTCTTTATTTCCTTTTTTTTCTTTTTTCTTTTTTTTTTAAAGATAAAATTATTCTTGCTCCAGAGTTCACGAACAGTTGAATAACTACAGATCAGGGATATAATATAAAGTTAATAAAATACTATAGATGCAGTGCATTTGTTTCATTACCATAGTCCATATTTATTACTTTTTACTAATAAGAGTCTTTGAATAGTTCTCAGTACCAAATCCAACAGTGGTACCCTGTATAGTCTATCCCATACATCCCTTAGAATGCACAAAAGATAACATTTAGTTTTGTGTCCTACAGTAGGGAATTGAGGCTCTTTACCCAGTGAAAGTTTAGAAAACCACAATTCAGTTGGTCTTTTTGTTGGCATTTTTATTAAAAATCGAGTATTTTAGAAAATCAGAATTTACAGTCTGAAACAAAATTCTCATAGAATTTTGATGTAGAGTAAAATTTCATCTTAGCTCCGTTTACTCACCCTGACTCAGAGTAGACAGTAAATTGTACATCCTATGATGGAAAAGGTAGAAAAATATATAAACTCTTCTCCAAAATCCCAAACCCAACTAGAAGGAGGGCTTCTGGAATCCGCTGTGGCTTCAGTTGGCACAGTGTATTTCTTCAGGAGGAGTCCTTGCTGGTGATTGTCCTAGGAAACCTCTACAACAATGTGTGTGCCTGGGCCTCAGACCAAGTATGTATTAAAATCGCCCATATTTGCATCTCATTCTTAATGCAGCATGTAAAAGAGAGGGAGGTGGTCAGGAATAAAACTGTATTTTTACTGAGGCTACACTTGCACCAAGGTGTACAGAAAAAAAAGAAGAGAAATTGGTTTAACTTTATTTCACGGCATCTACCTCCAGAGCTTTTTACAATTTGGTTTGTTATAAAGAACTAGTGAGTCAGCTTGAAAGATAAATACGGATGCCCGTCTCATCCTTTGTGCCTAGAAGAAAAGTGGTTCCAAACCTAGAGGATAGTCTCAAATAATGAAGTATTTGGTTTTGCCCACATCAAGTTTAGCCAAGTGGGAAATAAACACTGTATTTTGATTATAATGGACCCATGATTTTTAGTCTTTGCTCACCCATATTGAAGGAACAAATGATCCAAAGGAAGAGTATTTTCCTCAGTCGTCGTCTTCTACGTTATCCATCCTCAATCAAGTAGAAGAGTTTTTTGAAATAATATATTTTGAGTAGGTTTCTTTCTCTCTTTTTCAAAGTTCTCTTCCTTGATAGAGTAAGCTTCCTTGCGTGTCTGTGGTTGGCCTCTAATTTTCCCCGTTCCCTGCTTGGTGATGCTTTGACTCAGTGATCTCTCAACAAGTAGTAAACTGTGAAACATGTGGATAATTTTTATCTTAATGAGTAGACACTTTTCCAAATGTACGATAATCATGAACTTACTAAATTCTCTTCAGTTATGGGTGAGCACGTCTGGGCCCAGTTTCTCCCTGGCCAAAGACGACTGTGCAGTGTATTCTTAGACTAATTGTTTCTTAGAAGCATTTCCCCGGGTTTTTCCTAAGCACTCAGGGGCTGGAATGATTATATAGTCATGTAGCAATTCATGTTCTTAGTGTTTATTTCCTACACTGCTGTCCCTGGATTCCAGAGTGGCAATGATCCCTTGAGCTGTTAGCCCGTTAGCGTCTGTAGGGCTTTCATTGTCTCCCTTTAGGTGCTGCAGTCTGGTGCACTCATTGTGAATTCTCAAGGTTTGCCTGTCACTTGTAGATATTTAACTGATACACTTCTTGCAGAGACTTCCAGATTCCCATGATACTTACGACTTCCCTCAGAAGAAGATGTAAATATTTTGGTCTTTGTCAACAACCATTGTTACTAAAACTGGTAGTAATCTTTCTATCAACTAACCACAGCATTTTGTAGCTTCTCCAAATTGCTATCAAGAATTGGTATAAATAACTTCCATCCCAGAATACTGGAAATCTTTTCTATTTCTCTCTTCTTGATTGTTGATTTTAGGATAGAGAGAATTGGGATTTTCTTTTGTCATTTCCTTTTGACGTGTGTTCTCTGATCAGTGTGTGATGGGGTCATTGCTTTCATATGAGCCCCTGTGGGATTGTATCAGTCACATGAATGAGGATCAGAGAAGGCTGTCCTCCAGAGGCTACATCTGTGACACGAAAAGGGTTCCAGTTCTTTAACTTGGAAAAAAAGGAACCCAAACCAGAAGGATTATAGTTTCCAAATTTGCTTTCTGTTATTTAAGATTCCCACCCCAAAACACCATCTGCTATCCATCTGTACTAATAATGGTCTTTTACATACATAGAATGCTTTGCTGTTTATACAACCTTCTCCTATATATTACTCTTTCTTATAATCCTGTTCAGTTCAAGAAACTACAACTAGAGGTTAATCATGCCGGTGCTCTCAGAGCTAATGTCTGGCAGAGCCAGAACTATTAATAGAACTCAGGGGGCCGCCTGGGTGGCTCAGTTGGTTAAGCGGCTTCCTTCAGCTCAGGTCATGATCCCTGGGTCCTCGGATTGAGCCCATATCCAGCTCCCTGCTCAGTGGGGAGCCTGCTTCTCCTTCTTCCTCTGCAGCCCCCCCTGCTTGTACTCTCTCTCTCAAATAAATAAATAAAATCTTAAAAAAACAAACAAACTCAGGTCTTCTGAACTTAATATAGAGCTTTTTCCTCTGTGCCCCAACTGCTGTCTCCTCAAAGACAGGAAAAAAGAAGTAGAGGCACTTCTCATGCTTTCACTTTATTCCATAACGAAGAATGGACCAGGCAGAAAAGTAAATGTTAAAGAAAATACCCTGATTTTCAACTGCATAATGACAAGTATTTTTTGGGATATGTTTAACAAGCAAGCTGTGGTTTACCTCTTAGTTGTATAAAAGATAATTTAGGAAAAATGGGAGTTATAAGAATTGTATTCTTGTTTTTTGCAATTGATATTTCTTGCAAGTTAAATGAAATCTCTCCTCTGTTTTTAATAACATGGAGCGTGCTTATTTTAATGCCAGTGAATTGGCAGCAAGATTCAAATTCTAGATTCTTATGACCAAATTAGGTATCTGACTAGAAATGTCTTCTATTTACCCTTCTCCACTCAATTCTGGCTTGGCCATAAGAGTCAAATGTAGCAATCTGATTTAATGAGCAGGCAGCCAGGAAGGAAAAGGCAGACTTTATATTGCAAAGACCTTTTGCATTGCAAATGCCCAGGGATAATCCAGACAGGTAGGCAAGCAATCCCCACTATAGCTAATACAGAAAAACTTGCACTCAAGACAGAGAAACCAGTTGGAAAGTATTTGGGACGAGCTCTTGAGCTTAGCCAGTGACAAGTGTAATACCTTGTTAAAAGTCACTGTGATGTACCAGACCTAGTAACTGTGTGAAGAAATGACATTGCTCTTCCCTGATGTGTAAGTGACTTTCTTCTTTCTTAATTTTTTTTTTTAATCCAGCTGCAAACACTGATTCAGGAGACTGACCCTGGCGCAGATTACCGCATTGATAGAGCTCTGAATGAAGCCTGTGAATCTGTGATACAGACAGCCTGCAAACACATAAGATCGGGAGACCCAATGTAGGTTATCTTATTTGGGGTATTTTATTTGGCAGTGTATTATTGAGAACATTCCTTTAAATGATTTTTGGATGGTTTTAACATCTTAACTAAAATTGTGTTAAACAGAAACACATAGCAACTTTTGTTAAAACCAGTATTGGAATTGAGACTTCAGCTCTGCCTCGTGCATGATGTAGATACTAGACCCAGCATTGTGATGATGTTTATTGACTGTGACTGAGCGTGTATGGGCCTGTACCTTAGGTCACTGAATAATTCTGTTTAATGATCAAATAAACAAAAGAGAGAAACACCCAGGATAAAATGACACATACTTTGTCTCTATACTTTCATCATGTTTGTATAGTGACTTGTTACATATATTGTGTAATTGATAATTGTTAGAAATTCATTTATTATAGTTGAAATAATGTGGCTGTGTTGTGGTTGGAGGACGTAATCATGGACAAAGTGAACTCCGAAGTTGCATCCAGGAAAGCTATAAAGTGCCATAATACAGTATTTGAATCTCATGTAGTAGTTTTATTTCATTTATTATTTTATTTTTATGATGCGAAAGCAGCTCTTAAAACCAGGTTGCAAGTAAAGAACAGGTTTCCCACTCTGCAGAAACCTTTGTAGCCCACAGTCAGCAGTACCCAGCAAGAGAATGAATACAGTTGATGTTTGTCATCATGCTGCTGTGCATCTACTCCTTCTGTTCAGGCTGTGGCAGGGGATTAAAAAAAGATACCCTTCTTTAAAGCTTTTGTGCAGTTGGAGGAGATAGACAAACACAGTGAAGACTGATTAAGAGTATTTACCAATATAAAAATAATTGGGTCAAGCATGAGGTGTCAGGGGTGAGGGAGGGAAGTGGGGAGAACTGCTACAGCTGAAAATCATTTGAAGATGCTATCACTCAAATGCAGTGTGTGTACCTTTTCTGGGTCGTGGTTTGAACATATAAAAAAGCACCAAATAATTGCAAAATAATTTGAAAACTAATAGGATATTACATAACATTAGGGATTTTTAAAATTAATTTCTTCTGGTGGATTATGGTATTATGTCCTTGTAGAGAAATACGCTCAAGAATTTATGAAAGAAAATGATATGGTATCTGTGATTTTCTTCAAAATATCAGCAAGGGGGAGTGTGTAGAATTAAAAAAAAACTTGGCTATAGGTTGATAAAGCTATGGGAAGGGAAAGTGGCTCTTAGGATACTTTACTTTTGTGTGTGTTGGAAAATTTTCCTAATAAACAGTTACAGCAACTGCATACTGATCTTATGCAAGCCGAGTCCCAGGTTCCGAGTGGCCCTGAAGTTGAGAGAAGGCATGGTCACTATCAGACTAAGTCAATTTGAGTTATTCTCAGAGAAGTAAATCCCTGATTGCCCTCAAAAATAGCTCAAGGGCTTTTTCTACAGACCAAGGAAATAGTGGTGTGAGAGTTCCAATCCTGTTCTTAAAATTTCATCCCTGTTTTATGCCCAGGATCCTCTCGTGCCTAATGGAACACTTATACACAGAGAAAATGGTGGAAGATTGTGAGCACCGTCTATTAGAACTGCAGTATTTCATCTCTCGAGATTGGAAGTGAGTATTTTGAAGCCAAAGTCAAGTGTAAGCCTCATCCTGTTCTCCGTTTAGTCAGGATCCTCCTTTCTGGTTTGAAAATATTAGTAAGAATATGTTTTGCTTAAGTTCTGGGGTGCCGACATGTTCCAGTCCTCTGAAGAATAATATCTTTCTTCTTGCTTTCAGAATAGTATCTAAAAGCTGAGGCAGCCCTTGCAGGTCTGCCCCATGTGCCCCATTCACTACGACTTTGGAAATCAGAGTCAGATGTTTCTGATACCACAGACATCCATCCTCAAAGAACTTGGGCATCTGTGGGGCAGCAGAAGCATCTTCAGATAGGTCTCTAAGCAGATAATAGTGCATTTTAATTTTTATTGATTTGTACTAGATATGGGAATTTACTTTTATTTCTCTATTCAAAGTTGTTGAATTTTCTATCTTAAGAAGCTCTTATCAGTGAGTGACAACTTGATTCTCTAATTCTCTTCTTTTCTCATACTGTTATCCAAAAAAAGGTGGGGTGGGGATCAGCTAGGAGAAGAATTTATATTACAGTCAGAATCAGCATAACTTAATGGCCTCACTGCCTTCCTCTTTACATGTTCTAGTTTCTCTTCCACCCGAAGAGTAGCTGGTACAGAGCCACTTGGGAAGCTGGCTGTCCCTCCTGTTCCCATGGGAGCTCAGCTGCTTCCTGACTCAGTTTTAGCCAGTGTCTTTAGTCTTCTGGTGATTGAATATGTTACCCACATACTTCAGTGAAAAGAGATGATTCAGAAGATTCAGTGTATTTTTTTTTAAGATTTTATTTATTTATTTTTATTTTGAGAGAGAGAGCACACATGGGCAGAGGGAAGGACAGAGAGAGAGGGAGAAAATCTCACGCAGACTCCATGCTGAGTGCAGAGCCCAACGTGGGGCTCGATCTCATGACCCTGAGGTCATGACTTAATCTGAAACCAAGAGTCAGACGCTCAACCGACTGAGCCTCCCAGGCACCCCAGATTCAATGTATTTTATTTCTGTTCCCTCAGATTAGCTCTGGAAAGGACTACAGAAAACTGTGTGGGTATTTCTCTGTACTTTCTCAGGCCAGCTAAACCAAAATAACAAGGTTTACTGAGGTTATTGCTCTAATCAAAATCATCTTAATTCCTCTTCTGTAACTCCTTCACCTATGATCACAAATTGCTTCATAGGTTTAAAAGCTACTCATTAAGTGTTAGCGTTTCTCATCCCATTCAGTAGCTGTCCCCCAAAGTTGGCATTAAGATGTGGATAGAATTAAGCATCGTTGGTCTGATCTGGAGAAACAGCAAGCTCATTGCCTTAATCCATTGTCTCCAGAGTTCAAAGTTAAATGTCATGTTTTTTAAAGTTAATAAGCATATTCAAATAAACTAAAAATAGAATTTACTTACCTGGCATGGGAAGAAGAAAAGAAACAGTTTGACTAGAAGGCAAGTCGAGTTGGGAGATTCTGTTTATCTTGCCATTTCCTAATCTTACTGAATCTTGTATATCAGATAGGATTGAATTTCATTCATGCTTTGAGAAACCTTATTGAGTGAAGAGTTGTGAATCGCCTGGTGACAGCTTCAGGCCTCATTGTCTCACTTCAGCCAGGGCATGTTAGTGCTGAGTCCGCTGTAATGTGCATCTTATGTAGCCAACATGGCCTCCTTGAGGTAGAACTTAAGCTTCTGCACCAAGGTCCCCAGACTTCTACCAGTTGACCACTGTGTGTTCCTGAAGAACAAAATTCAGGAATATCTTTTAACTCTTACCCTTATAGGCTGGACCCTGTCCTTTACCGCAAGTGCCAGGGAGATGCATCTCGTCTTTGCCACACCCATGGTTGGAACGAAACCAGTGAACTTATGCCTCCTGGAGCTGTGTTCTCTTGCTTGTATAGACACGCCTACCGCACTGAGGAACAGGGCAGGAGGGTATGCACCCAATATTGACTTCATTTCTTCTTATCCGCCATTTGTTTTTGAATTAGTTTGCTGTATATTGTTCTGATGTCTGCCGTCGTCGGAAACTTGATCAGTGTAGGTGGCAGGGAAAGACTGCTGCCCTTCTAGGAACTTCATTCAGTGAGTGCTCAGAGAGTTGCTTCACCAGCTTCCCATCTGATTTCACGTTTTCAACAAAGTATTTCAACAAAATGACAGCAGACGTTTCCAGTTTTTTCTTTAAATTACTAAAATCTAAATGACAAAGAGACAACTAAATATTGCTGCCCTAACTTCATTTAGCTTTAAAGATCCATTAGAAACTCTTCACCAGGATACAGGTGGTTTTTAGGCTTTGTTCTGAGCTAGGTAAATTTGAATTCAGTGTTCCTGACCCAGGTGTGTGTTCTCTTCTGAACAGAAGCTGGCATTCTACTCTGCATTCATAGAGTAGTAGCAGATTAGTTTTCCTAAACAAAAAACTTAAATCCAGTTCACTTTTTATCCATGTACTCTGAGAAAAGGATGTTGTTTCATTCAGTATATTAGAAAACGTTGAATCTAAGATCTCCTTCCTAGAGGTGTGGGTTTGTAGAAGCCTCCTAGAAGATTTAATCCTCACTCTGGAAGAGATTTGGGTTATAAAGTTCGTATAAGTAACTATAACATTATTAGTTTCCTAACGACAGATTTCCTTTATGTATTGTCTTTTTGTTTTGGTTCTGGTACTTTTAAAGTATTTTGCTTATTCTTTTTCATATAGCTGTCTCGGGAGTGCCGAGCTGAGGTCCAGAGGATCCTACACCAACGTGCCATGGATGTTAAGCTGGATCCTGCCCTCCAGGATAAGTGCCTGATTGATCTGGGGAAATGGTGCAGTGAGAAAACAGAGACCGGACAGGTAACTGACATAGCTATACCTGTTTATCTTATAATAATAATAATAATAATAATAATAACATTCATGATGAACACTTTACATAGAGTACAAACGCTATAAAATTTATCTCTATTTTTGTTACATAATTCAGTATCTTCTTCATAAGAAATCCTAAGGAAAATTTTCCCTTTGTTCTCTTTATCAGGAATAATTATACTTTTCCAAAGCAGTTGTTTTATTTATATATTATGGTTACTATATTTTGTAAATGATTTTCCCTCTTTGTGTTGCCTGTTAAAAAACCTGGCTCCAAAGTTATGGCTTGCCTGTAGCAAGTATGTAAGATTTTGTGGTAGGCATTTTGTGTACCAAGCTTACTGCTAGCTCCATCCCACACTTTTTTTTTTTTAACCATACTTTCTTTTCCTTTTTTTTTTTTAATTTGTTTTAAAGTTATTTTATATTGCTTTTTTTTTTTTTTCTTTTCTCACCCTTATAAGGTACATTAAAGTCCTTTTGAGGGAAGGCAGGGTATCAACATAAACATAAATAAATACTGGCATGCGTGAATAGTGTGCATGTTTATTTTTTCCATTTAGTAATTGACAAAATTGAAGCCCATAGGAGTGAAGTGTATTGACTTCCTTAGCTCCTACTCAGGTCTAATCCTAGCCACACATCAGGTCCATTGTCTTACAACCTCTTTATACAGGAGAGTGTAGAGAAGAAACCCCTCAAGAATTACATGCATGTTATGAGTGGTTCCTAAAATTTTGTGCCTGGTTTAAAAAACGGAAAAGCTACATTAGTACATTCTAGCACAATAAGTTAGGAGGAAGATTTGTCTTCTGTCTTAAGGCAGGGAAACCAAGCATGGAGGAATAGCTACTTGTTTAAAGCTCCAGTAATACTAGAACAAGGTGTGAACTCAGGTTTCCAGATTCCACTTTTACTACTCCAGAACATCCTCTGGGATTAACTACCAGCAACTCACCATGAGCAGGAGTTGGGCATTTTTAAGAAGCAGCACTGGCTCACTTAGTGAAGACAGATGTCAGATCTGTTGGCCCTGCCAATATCGTTTTCAGCAGTCTGCTTCCTGGGCCTGCTGAAGTTCTGTCGATTTCATTGTGAGAAAATGCCTGTAGTTGAGCTTTCTGCTGCCTTTGTCTAACAAAACAAAGGATGTGGTCATATGGAATCCCAGAGAGCAGTTTCCTTTCACACCCCCTTCAAAGTAACATTGAGGAAGCTGCACTGTATTGCCCCCCATCGCTGTGAAGCTCCAGTTAGGAAAGGGTTCTGTGAATGGGATTTTTCCCTTAGCCATTTCTCTTACTCCAGAGGTTTTATGCATGTTCCTTCAGGGGTCTTTACCCCCTTTCTGGCTATTGTATAACTCCTCCAACCCTGCTTGTCCAATCCTATTCTAATTCTAAAACAGATTCTTGCAGATACTAAGTTAAACTTGGTCCTTTAATAGAGCCTTTGCCGAGAAATAGCTGTTGATAGCTTTGGGAAAGTGAGCTCCTGTTCTGCTTAAAACCTCTAAATTTCTAAAAGGAATAGTAATGGATTGATGGTAGAAGGTCACTCCAGGTCAGGTTCCAAAGCCCAGACAAGATAGCTTTTTGATGCCTGCCCAAACCCTAGTGTGCTCATTTGCTTTGCAGTTTCCCTCAGGATCCTTTCCTGTGGGCTAGGGTTAGAATCCCAGGTTTGACTGGGAGGAGCTGTCAGCTCTAGCTGGATTTTGGACACTGGGTCCCAACCTGCGTTGCTTATGAAGGATCTTAAAATACTGCATGTCATTCTACTGTGAATCTGTTGTTCACTGATTATTATTGACATGCAGATTTAAAATGGGAGCAAAGATATGAAAACATAGATTAAAAAAATGGAATGACGGGTTGTTAATGGAGTAAAGGCCTGATAAAATTTTTAGACACCGAGGACATCTGAACATTGATTCTTGGACTTATCGATTTGGCCTTCTGGAGGATTTGTATGGTGCTTGTTTCCCCTTGACCCTATCAACCACCCTGTTACATCAAGTGCTTATCTTCTCTACAATCCCGGTTTGGGAACTCAAATAAAGCTTTAGTGTTCCGTTCAGTGAAATAGTTTTTAAAAAGAAAAGATAAGGAGGACCACTGCAAAGGAAATAGATACTGTTCTCTCGGCTTCCCTTGTTCATTTATATAATTGAAAAATGCCAGGGGATTGCTTTCTTATTTGCAGGAGCTTGAGTGCCTCCAGGACCACCTTGACGACCTGGCTGTAGAGTGCAGAGATATAGTCGGCAACCTCACCGAGTTAGAATCCGAGGTAAGCGACTTCTGGCTCATAGACTACGGGCATCCTGTCAGGGGCCTGTCCTCTTTTCTCAGTCCTGCCCTTTCTCTGCCCCTGAGAGTGCCCATTCCCTTCGTTGGCTTTACAGAGAAGTACATTGTGTTGCTTCCTGAACCCCTTTTCTCATCTCCAGAGAAATATGCTAGACACTTAGCCCTTTGGTTTTCTTCAAAAATTAGAATTATCACAGTGATTAGACCAATCTTTTTCCTCCCCTTTAAGAAAAGATAGCAGCTGTACTTCAGATCTCTTAATCACATGCATGAATGGTCCAAGCATTCCTGTTCCTGTTCTCTCAGCTCTTTCAGTTAGGTCATCTGGCAGTGTTTGTGTCATCAATAATAAAAGCCTGGGATTTCCACTTAAACGTGGAAGACTGAATATGTGTGTTTATCCCTGTTTCATCCTGAAACCCACAGAAATATTTAAAAAGAAGTTAGAAAGTCTCGTAAGCATAGACATATTATTTAGAAATACAGAGAGCATGACTGGGGAGAGAGCAGCTAAAAATGTTAATAAAATTGTCTTATGGGGGCAGAGATCAGGGAAATGGGGGATTGCTCTTTTTTTCCTTATTTTAAGCTTTTTAGAACCGTTCGAGTTGGCAATATATAAAATTACATTTCCCAACTAGTCTTTTTTTTTCTTTTCTTTTCTTTTCTTTTTTTGCTTTCTATTTTTCAAAAGTTTATTGCTTTCTTCCATCTTGTATCATCTGCCTTCTCCCATTCTCATTGTCCTTTTAGGCTTAGGAGGACATTCTGGGGTGTGTCCCTCGTGAAAGGGAGTTGTTATTTCAGCAGCTAGTGCGGCACAGAGGTTACTGTCTGCTTAAATACATTCATGTGCATCCCCCAGAGGCAGTGGTTTGTCATCGGTTTGGGGAGCTTATAAACTGAAGACAGATGTCAGTTACCCGCATTTTCATTTTGAACTGCTTAGCCATTTGGAAAAAGTCCAAAAGCTAAACTGTAGGATTACTGTTAAATGCTTTTTCCTCTGCACTGTTCTTAATTCTGCCTTCTCTTTTTTTTGCTGCGGCTCATGAGGTATCTACCTCTAGAAAAACTTGCCCTTTAGAATATAATGGAGGAATAATTCGGTCTGTGCTGGGGCTCGCTAACCTAAAAACTAGAATTGCTCCCAAATGTACATCTTAGATTATTTGTCCATCAGTTGCTACTGATTCAGAAACAAAAACTGCCATTCTTGCCACAAATAGCTCCTTCTAAAGCAGAATTATTAATATGCTTAATCTTCTACAGGACATTCAAATAGAAGCCTTGCTGATGAGAGCCTGTGAGCCCATAATTCAGAACTTTTGCCATGTAAGTAATGTCTGGAGAAACAGAAGAGGGATAAACCAAATTCACTGGGACTTTGGCCCTCAAGTATATTGCACTTAACCTTTCCAGCATATATGACTCCTGAGTGAAAGTTGAAAATGTAAACAGACTCGGGGGAGAGGGGGTGTGCCACGATCCTGGAAAACCTTATCTGATTGTGCTTGGGAGGTGCCTGGTACGAGGTTGGCAGGTTGGCGGCAGTCGTCAGGATGCCCGCCATAGGGGATCCCGTAGTGGATCACTGAGCACCGCTGAGGTGTTTCCGCTACATCAGCTCAGGGTTTGTTAGCACTGACAATAGCTTCTCCTTGTAAATTGAATGAATTCTGTTACTTTATTAGTTTATTCACTTGTTGAACTAGCTAAATGGTGGGGGTGGAGCCATGCGGGAACCATTAAGGATCTGACAATCAGGAGGCAGCATTGGGTGTGATCCTGAAGCCAGCTGCTGTCAGCATGAGGTGGGGGCGGAGGGCGGGGAGAAGGGGGTTGGGGGGGGGCGAAAGCCCTGCACAGGACATGTTCTTGTTGCAGCTTGGTGCAGGGCAACTTGCTGTGCAACTTTTAGTCCACTGAATGTTTATCCCTTATAATTTCTTAGGCTGATTTTGATATAAATTATGATATATCATGTTGAGGGAGGCCCTAGAGTCGGTCTAGTTTTCATTTTTTTTTATAAACTGGGGTGCAAGATTTGTTCATTAATTGTTAGAAATGAAGTGTAAATGTGCACTGCCTTCCCCAGGACGTGGCAGATAACCAGATCGACTCTGGGGACCTGATGGAGTGTCTGATTCAGAACAAACACCAGAAGGATATGAATGAGAAGTGCGCCATTGGAGTCACCCACTTCCAGCTGGTCAGTAATGCCAGGCAAACCCTGCCTTTCTTGGCTGCCTGGATGCTTCTGAATTCCTTTCTCTTCCAGAGCGTCAGAGTACCTCTTCTATGAGAAATCATTTTTTCCAAATATGCCTTTTCCTGGTTCTCAAAAACAGTGGTCTTTATCCACTATGGCCAGGCACAATGGCGGGTTCTGGGAATGCAGTGCTAAATAAGATGGAGTCTGTAAAAAAAATTTTTAAAAAGATGGAGTCTGTACCCTTAGGGAACAAGCAGCCCAGTGGGGATAGAGATGAGTGACATTGCTTGCTTTTGTCAGGTGTCTTAGCCTTTGCTTACATGGCTGGTATCAGTGGGATGTGCTGTTTCATGTCTCTGTTCAGTGCAGCAGTCCAAATGTCTATCAGTATACTAGACCCTAAGACTTTTTCTCTTTTAAATCCTATTGCCATATCAGGTCTGACATCCAAATAAGGTTAAACTGTATTCAAATTTGGCACAGATCTAAAGGAAGTGTTTCCGGTAAAGCAAGCTCTTCCTTCCCACGAGGATGAAATCTGTCATCTGTATAAAATTGATCTCTTCTTGGGGCCTTCGGTTTATCATTTGCCTTTACCAAATGATATTGAGGGCCTCTGAGGGCACCCACCCAGACAGTGGGCTCCTTGAGCAGACAAAGCCTGCCCTTGTCAGTTCTATGTTCTAGTAAGAGAAAGACGCAAAAACACGTTTAAACGTAAATACAGTCTCAGGTGGGCCTGTAAGGAAAAATAAAGCCTCCTACAGGGTGGAGGGTGAAGGAGAAAGGGGTCTTCAGAAGGAGGTGTTTGAATGAAAGTGCCAAGGAGATGGCAAAGCAGACCATGGGGGATCTGGGAGAAGAAGAGCCCTTTTGGCAGAGGGAGCAGCATGACTAAGTGATAGGGAAGCCAGAGTGGCCATAGCAGAGGGAGGAATGAGGAGGTGGGTCAGAGGAGGAGTTGCTTATGGCCTGGAAGGCGGGCATCTGCAGTCTTCATGCGCATCGCTGATTGGAATGTGCCACAGATCTGCTAATTTTCTTTCACATCATCTTTTTCAGGTGCAGATGAAGGATTTTCGGTTCTCTTACAAGTTTAAAATGGCCTGCAAGGAAGACGTGTTGAAACTTTGCCCCAACATAAAAAAGAAGTATGTAGCTTTTACTTGATTCATTCTTCTTCCTTAAAGTCTGGACAAATACCCTGTGTTCTGGTAGGATTAGCCTTGGAGGCCAGCACACGCTGTGGTCGTGTGGCCAAGCACTTGGATTGTGTGGCCAGATCATCTTTACAGCTACCTGGAGCCACAGGGGACCCAGGCAGTTCTGCCATGGAGAGGCCTAGATGCCAATTTTACTGTTCCCAGGTTCGAGCTGTCCGACTAAGGAGGCAGATTCAGGTTGCACCCTTAGAGGAGCAAGTTGCAGCATGAGTGAGAGGGTAACTGACTTCCTCCCAACATCATCCCATTACGTCAGCTCTTCCGGAGAGCAGCAGGGGCTTTTACTGAGTTAAGAGGTCTAGTGAAGGAACAAAAACTTGATTCATTTTAAGAATCAGGTCTCAATGAGGAGAGTGATGAGCTTTTATAATATGGCTGCCCCAGTTCTTCCATCTCACTCTTCGCAAAGGTACGTTTCTAGAACACATCCTCCTTGTATAAACCAGGTTCCCATTTTGCTTAGGTTTCTGTACCTTTCAAAAATGGATTTCACCGTTCATCAAAGACACAGTCTAGTTAAGAGCAGCATTCCTCTCTGGTCACATGTTTGTAACAAAACAAGCATTGAACTGTCCTTGCATACATGTCTCCCCCGGCCTCCCCTCCAGTCAGGAATGTAGTCCGCCTTCAGCCGTTTGTAACATACACAGATTACTGCTTTCGAGGCTCTGAAAACACAGTAAGACTTCTAGAAAGGGCATTCAGAAGCATGGTAAAGGGGGTCATGCACTCTGGGGTGGTGGTATGGCCCCTGCCTCAGCCTGTGGCCTGCCCAGCCCTGGCTCTGGGCCCTCTGCCCTCCTGTGGCTCCAGCCAGTCTCAGCCTTCTCCTTTCCTTGACAGGGTGGACGTGGTGATCTGCCTGAGCACTACCGTGCGCAATGACACTCTCCAGGAAGCCAAGGAACATAGGGTGTCCCTCAAGTGCCGCAAGCAGCTGCGGGTGGAAGAGCTAGAGATGGTAACGCCTCATAGCACGGCCTCCGGGCCCACAAACACAGGGTCTAGAAGCTTGGGTGAAGGGTGAGGGCAGATTGGAATATTTTAGCCACTACTGTGATGGTTAAGACTTGGAGACTTGTGCTAAAATTTTACCATGCGACAGCTTCCTGCTTCGCTTTTCCTAAGTGATAAAATATTTTTACCACGTGTCACTGAAAGTTCGGCCTTAAGCATGTGATACAATCATTGCATCAGTAATGCCCTCAAGGATCTAGGGTCTCTCCCTATTGTCTCTGCTGTTTGTGGCACCATCTTTACTGCAATCCTGGTTTCCTTCACCATGGCTGCCTACAGTAGCCGGGCCACCTACTCCAAATTCGTGTCCAGCAGCAGACTAGAACAGGAGAAGCCTCCTCTCTTCCTGATGGCCTGTAGCAAGGTCCTCCCCCTCAGTGTGTGTGTGTGTGTGTGTGTGTGTGTGTGTGTGTGTGTGTGTGTGTTTGGTTTTTTTGTTTTTGTTTTTTTGAGAGTGAGAGCATGAAGCTCGCCAAGGGGGTATGGGGTGCAGAGGGAGAGGAAGAAGCAGGCTCCCCACTGAGCAGGGAGCCTGACGCACGGCTGGACCGGGACCCTGGAATCATGACCTGAGCCAAAATCAGATGCTTAACTGACTGAGCCACCCAGGCATGCCTCCCTCAATTTTCGTCTTTCAGTTTGAGATCTGTGCCCGCTCCCTGAGCAGCAGCACTCTCCCGGGAGCGCCGCGCACGGGTGAGCTGACTGGTCCTGAGCTGAGGCAGCTGTTGGCAAGTCAGCTGCTGTGTGCGCTGTAAAAGGAAACCTCCTACTTTACTTTTGAGGTTAAACCATGTTAAGAAAACAGCTAAAAGTATGTTTAATATGTTCTGTATTGTGAAGCATACTGACTTTACCTCAGTCTAAGCAAAAACTAGTAACGAATACCGAATGTCCGTAATAACGCAAAAGCTGCATTACCAGATTTTCCCATAGGGTGGGAGTGATTCGGTGATAATGATGTTTGACTGGAGCTAGCGTTGATGTCCTCTTATAATTGAGACTTTGGGTCCCTAGCTTTGAACCTTGCTCCTTCAGTAAAATAATAATAATAAAAGTAGGATCCTACATTTATGTAATGGTTTTGACTTTCTGAAGTAGTTTCCGCATCATATGATCTAACTTCATGTCACAGCAGTGCTGTGAAGGGGCCAGGCAGGTGACAGCATTTTGTTGTGCAAAGAAAATCCAAGGCCATCTAGCTAGTTAGCAGCAGGATTGAAACTAAATCCCAGCTTTCCTCGTACTGTGGTGGCCACACTGCTGCTGCTTGGCTGGGTGTGAGTTGCGGTCACTAGATAAGATCTAGTCAGCACCTGAGTCTGTAGAACATTTGACATCGCCAGTTTAGAATAAGCTCACTTTTCCGTGCTGGCTCCCTCCCGTGCAGACCGAGGACATCCGTCTGGAACCAGATTTGTATGAAGCTTGCAAGACTGACATCAAGAACTATTGTTCCACTGTGCAGTATGGCAATGCTCAGGTGACTGTCTCTTTTTATTTTCTAATTCTGAAAATGGGAGGGTAACATTTTAATAATTCTTCGGTGGTGGGATGTGCCTCCTCACATTCTCTCCAGCCTAAACATCCCCTCCTAAGCTAAGCTATACCAGACTTCTCCCAGAGTAAGTTCCTTATGTGCATTCGTCTTGGTCTCCTGTTCATTGTCTTCCCTCTTTCAGGTTACCTTGTCCTGCCCCACCATGTCTTCCTGAGACATGCTTCCTCCTCTCCATAGCTTTCCTAACACCGTGCACTCCAAAACGGATTATTCCCTTAGTCCATGCCCATTACACAGTATGACTAGTTCTTTTTCTTAACATAAGAGTCACCTGGGAAACTTTGTTTCCTTAATGCACAGAACGGGGTCCTACCCAGAAGTCAGGAATGAAGTGCAAGCACGTGATTTTTCCCGTCAGTGTTCTTCCAGCGACTCAGCTGCCGTTTCTAGTCGGGGGCATTGCCATGGTGCGTTGCCCGCAGTTGCTGTTTTTTCAAACACTGCCTTTTCCTTCCTTCTGGAACTCGTAGCAGATGGCTGGAGTGTCTGAATCTGTCCTCCTTGTCTCTTTTTCTCTCATACTTTCCATGTCTTTGCTCTTTGTACTACAGCGAGGTAATTCCTGAGTTCCACTTCCCAGCGTAAAAATGTATTCTTCAGTTCTGTCCGTTCTTCTCTTTACAGAGACCACCGGTTGGGTTTTATTTTTTGTTCCCAAGATCTGTAATTGGTTCTTTTCACAACCATCTGTTCTTGCTTCTGGTTTACCATTTCTTTCTGTATTGTTCTAAGGATCTTAAATGTATTTTTTAAATTGCTCTGTTACTTTTCCCTCTCAGTTATTTGGTGATTCTTGGTTGTTCCTTGAGGATTTCCTGGAAGTCTCCTGACTTTATGTACAGCCCTAGTTATTTCAGTTTCCCATCTGCTTCCCTTCATCATTTGTTTATAATATCTATAAAGTGGTGTGGGGAAGGGCAGGTTCCAGGATACCTTTAATTCACTATCTTAAAATCCATCGTGTGGCACTTCATGCTTTTATGTTAGCCCCCCCCCATCTTCTTTCTTTCTTTTTTTGGTAGTTATTTGTTTACAAAAGTTTGCCTTGTGAGACTGTTTATCAGGGGTAAGGACTGGGTCTCTCTCATGCATCTGGTAAATGGTGAGTTGAACTGAACCTCCTAGCTTGTGCCCACTGTCTAGTCAGGGCTCTTGCTCCAGAGAAAGGCAGAAGAAACCAGGAATCTTGAGTGGGTTTCCTTCCTTTTAGATTCCAGTGCAGCCTGCTCAACTCATCCATTATTTTTATATAGTCTGGTTGACTCTTAACCCTGAAGCTGTAAATCTATAAATATAATTCTCCTTGGTGAGCAAATTCTGATTCCTATTGCCTAGGAATTCGGAATAGGCCAAAAGATGGGGGATGCACTAAGAACCGAAGGCTGCTGTCAGAACACATGCGTTATCACGCCGGGATACACCCCTTAACACGACCATAATTCTTGTGCCCTAGATTATCGAATGTCTGAAAGAAAACAAGAAGCAGCTAAGTACCCGTTGCCACCAGAAAGTTTTTAAGCTACAGGAGACAGAGATGATGGACCCAGAACTAGATTACACTCTCATGAGAGTCTGCAAACAGATGATAAAGGTAAGGAACCCCAAACCAGGGGGTGGTAAGCACAGGGTAGGTAAAAACAACAGCATAAGCTTCTTTAAACATCGAAAAAAATTTGTATAATCTTACCACTCAGCCTGTTCTATACAGATGAGACCGTGGTTCTCACAGTGTGGTCCCTTAGCATCACCAGGGTATTGATCAGTGCTTGGGCCCCCCCATATCTACTGAATCAGAAACTCTGAGCAGAGCTGTCAATTTTAACAAGCCTCCCGGGTGATTCTGGTGCTGGCTCAAGTTTCAGAACCACCGAGCTAAGCTAACTGAGCTCACCTTGACCTAAGGCATGAGTGAATAGATACCCAGTAAATACATGATTAGTCTTTGAGGGTGGGTAGTGGTAAGTACATCGAGAAAACCACCACCAAGTGCCCTGACCAGCGTCCTTCCACAATCAAAGCTTTTCTCTTCTATAAGTTCTTCTGTTTCATACACTTCTCCAGTGAGCATTCTCTATAGCAGAGCTGACTTGAGAACCTAGATGCCAGTTCCTGGATCTGTCCCCATATATGAAGAGATTAAATTTGAAGTTCTCATGCCTTATTTAAAATAAAATAAAACAAAATGCTTTATTATAATTTACTTAAAAAATAAAATGCTACTTTAAAACAAAATGATATTTTTTACTCTATCAGATAGCAAAGAGAATTGTGAAAGTTAGAAGTGTCTTTAGCTGGGCCTGGTAGATTTGAGTCCTATGTAAAAGCGGAACTGTCAGGGCACCTGGGTGGCTCAGTGGGTTGAGCCTCTGCCTTTGGCTTGGGTCGTGATCTCAGGGTCCTGGGATCGAGCCCCGCATCAGGCTTTCTGCTCAGTGGAGAGCCTGCTTTCCCCTCTCTCTCTCTGCCTGCTGCTGTGCCCGCTTGTGATCTCTCTCTTTCTCTCTCTGTCAAGTAAATAAATAAAATATTAAAAAAAAAAGACCTGTCAGGCTTTGATTTGTGGGAGTTTTGTAAGATTTTGATGATTTTTTCAGCAATCAGAATTAAGATATCAGTAGACTGTGATTAGCAGATAGACTGTCGATTAGCACATAGAGGTGGTATTTATTTTTATTCCAAAATGGATCTCTCTGACTTCAAGGACACTAAAAAGTGTACAGAGGCTAGCTGGACAAACTTTGATAGGATTATAGCCCCCATAGTTAAAAGATGAACTAGTGTGGTCCCTTCCCCATGTACCTGTTCATGTTGGCTGGTGGGTAATTTTTAAGTTTCCTGTTTGGGTTGGGTACGCCTTGAGGGCTATCTGGCCACCTGTTATGGCATTACGTTCATACTTAATACTTGAGTTCAGGAGATGTCATGTAACATAGCCATGTACCTACAGAGTCTGTCCTGTGTAAAGTAGGAAACGGGGTAGTAGAACTGTGAGCAACATAGTAGCGAAGAGATGAAGAAAGGGGAAGTTGAGGCTGGGTGCAGATTCAGACTTAGCTGTTTCTCTTGTACCACAGTCTCTTCAAGCCGATTCTGTCATTAGCACACCAGTCGATGGAAGAGTGATAGGGGCACTGTTAATTGCCGTATTTGGGTAACTACTTTCGTAAAACTTTATTTCTTTCAGAGGTTCTGTCCAGAAGCAGATTCCAAAACCATGTTGCAGTGCTTGAAGCAAAATAAAAATAGTGAATTGATGGATCCCAAATGCAAACAGATGATAACCAAGCGCCAGATCACCCAGAACACAGGTAGCCTTGTGGCCTGGCTTCCCCGTCCCGCTGAGTGTGGCTTCCGCGCAGCTGAGTTGACATATACCTGCCTCATTAAACTACAGGTGTTTTGTTGGCCGTGGGTTTTCAGGGAATAGTCTGGATGCAATAAGCAAAATGACTTATTCTTCCTTCAAAGAGTATCTGGGAGAACAGAATGGAAGTCATAGGAGGAGGAGACAGAAGGAGTCAGGACTAGAGTTCTTCGAAAAGTCTAGAGACTTAACAAAACTTCCTGCATGTGGTGGGAGAATGTATGGGTAATGTCTTTGAGAACAGAGAAATTTCAGCTCTGAGTTGCAAGACCTTGTCACATAATGGGTAAGATGAGTCAGGTAATCTCAGTGCTGTCCAAAGCACCTGTTACGGGAAAGGTTGGTGATGGCAGTTTGGTCTTCGTGACAACTAGCAAGAATACTGGTGCCAGCAGAGTGCACGGAGCCGCTGCAAAGTAGAATTCCTGGGGTCTCTGTCTCCACCTCTCCTCTGCCATTAAATTCTGTTGCTGATTGAAAACAGCATAGTGAGGGCTCTGTAAATATTTAGCAGATAAACGAATCAGTGGTTCATTTGTGGTCACTGACATAATATGCCCCCCTTCGAAAGGCAGGCCCCCCTTCTTATGTTTGTAGAATCCAGGTGGAACATTTGATCAGGTACTTATCACTTTCCACTCTAGATTACCGCTTAAACCCTGTGTTAAGGAAAGCCTGTAAAGCTGACATTCCTAAATTCTGCCATGGTATCCTGACTAAGGCCAAGGATGATTCAGAGCTGGAAGGTCAAGTCATCTCTTGCCTCAAGCTGAGATATGCTGATCAGGTAAACTGGCTTGGACGCTCACAGAGGTGTGTTTGTAGAGGACCCTCGACCCCCCGTAGTTTTTCCTTCGGAAGTCCCAAGCTTGCTCCTGCTTTCCCAAAGCCTTTTTCCTACTTGCCCAAATCAGGGGCCAAATAAAAAGCTGAAATTGCCTGATAGGCTGATGAAGTCTCCCTTTGTCACCTGTAGCGACTCTCTTCAGACTGCGAAGACCAGATCCGGATCATCATCCAGGAGTCCGCTCTGGATTACCGACTCGATCCCCAGCTCCAGCTGCACTGCTCAGACGAGGTAGGGTTTGGGTATGAAACTGGTTACAAACAGAGGTTTTCGGAGAAATGTTTATTGGAAAAAAGTCCTGTATTGTCTTTCCCTTCAGCTTTGAATGCAGGATAGTTGAAGACCCGTCTTCTGGATTCTCCATTGTTTGAGTTTCTGGTTCCCTGCGACACTGAATTAGACTTGACACTGGTCCTGTCACTGTAGTGTTGATTCCGTATTTCTCTATTGTACTAGTTCTCCTTTATTATTATATGTCATGCATACATGTGTCTCCGTATAGTTTGTCCTTCCCTTCCCTTTGTTCTTCCCTTCCCCTCATTCTGATGATAAACCTAGAATACCCTAAGACTTGCCAGAAGGATAAAGTGCTCTTAGAATAGCACCAAAGAAATGCCTGTCCTTGGAAATTATTTGACTTTGTAGCTAGAAAAAGGCCATGTGAAAAACTGTTCAATATATGTCAGTTTTAGGGGATCATAGCTAAAGATTTTTACAAGAAGCTTACTCATAAAGCTGTCCAAGGAGGGCTAAGTTTTTCATCTTTGGTGTGGACTGTATTTTAGAACGCCTTTATGTGTTGGTGTGTATATTGCCAAGTTGTGAGTCTGGGTTGACCCTGCACCTTTGTAAAGCATTTGCTTTTAGTATTTCACTTGGCTATATCCCCTTCCTCCTGTGTCATTAAGGGTTGCCTTCTTTGTGACCAGTCCTGGGACAGTCTTGTCTCTAATTTCAGGGTTGACAGCATAAAGATGGGTACACTGACTGGCTTTCAACTCTGTGTGCCAGTCCTTGGAAAGGAGAATGGGGTCTGGCAGTTTGTACAGGAGGGAGGGGGATGAAGTAAATTGGGAAACTCTTGGAGAGGACCTGTGGCCTCACGTGGGAGGATCACCAAGTCTACAGGCTGCAGAGACAAGGTTTCTGCTGAGAGTAGAGACAGCCTTGTGTTTCATGTGTGTCCCTGACAGATCTCTAATCTGTGTGCTGAAGAAGCTGCAGCCCAGGAGCAGACGGGTCAAGTAGAAGAGTGCCTCAAAGTCAACCTGCTCAAAATCAAGACAGACACCTGTAAGAAGGTAACCACCACTATCAGATGCCTCTGCTCCTGTTGCTTTCACTCCTTTTGGTTTTTCCTTCCAATGCTGTCCTCTGACGTCTCAGTGATAACATCGAAACCTTCCTCCCCAGAATTATACACTGTTACCTCTTAGGAAACCTTAATTGAGTTCTTGACAATTAATTGCCTATACCTTAAATATTCTTTCGCATGTCCTACTTTTTTGCGAATAGGTCTCATCCCCATGGCCAGCCTGTTGTTGAGGGGCACCATGAGTACACGGCCAAGAACAAAATGTCAAGTCCGACATATCAGTACATACTCCGCATCCATGAAAATCATTTCAGAAACAGCACATAAAAACAAAGTTAACAAAATATAACTGCTAAACATACCTTATCTTGCAGAATTGCTACTGAGATAATCTATTTGATCTTTTTCAAAAAGCTTTTTCTTTTCTTGAAAAGTGCTTCAGTGATGTCACTGTTGAGTCACCGTGGCTTTGTACACAGCTCTTTCATCTGCTGAAATGCTTCCAGTTGCACATGGTCTGAGGAATAAGGGGAGTTGGCATAAAGCTAAATCCAGATACTTTCCTTGGACTACTTTGTCATCAGATGATCCCATTTAACCTTGAGGAGGACTTTTCGAACAATATTTGAGTTTTGGTTTTTGTTTTCTTGTTTTGGTTATTGTTGTGTTATAGAGACTATATTTAGTCTTTCCATTGAAAGCAAACTCTTTAAGAAAGCATTTCTGAGGGTGCCTTGGTGATACAGTAGAGTGTGTGTCTCTTGGTTTCAGATCAGGCTGTGATCCTTGGGATCATGAGATTGAGCCCCACGTCAGGCTCAGCATAGAGTCTGCTTGAGATTCTCTTTCTCGTTCTCTCTCAAGTAAATAAATAAATTTAATTAAAAGTAAAAAAAAAAAAAAAGCATTGCTGGCCTATTTTTACCTCCTGTTTCATCGTGTATAAACGGAGAGACCGCAGAGCTGATTTCAGTTCCATCATTTTTATAGTCCTCTTCTTCGGAACATTTTTAAACTCGGTAAGAATTGTTCTTACAGTAAAATTTATGCTCTCTCAGTCTTTTTTTTCTTAGCTTTTGAGGATAATAGAGGTAAAGTAAAACATTTTGCAAATATTGACCATTGTTTGGGAATTTTAAGATAGCATATTATTCTGATTATCAGATGTCACATTTTTCAGTCCTCTTAAAGTAAGGAAATAGCTATATTATACCACTATAAATACCAACACTTAGTATTTAATAATACGGCATAGCAGACTGCCAAAACCCAAATGTGATTTTATAACCCCCTGCTTTACTTAACACATGGCTTTGCTTACACTAGGTCTCTGAGTGTATTTATGGAATCAAATCAGTTGCTAAAAGTCTACATTCTTTGCATCATCACCAGTTTGCCACCTATCTCAACAAGTTCTGTTGTTAACCTCAACCTTCCCTCCTTGACTTGTTTGTTTGTGTATAAAGTATAACAGATAACAGATCTGATGCATTTCCTCTCTAAAAGGTCTCTCTGCGATGTTTTTCCCTTCCTAGGAAGTGTTAAACATGCTGAAAGAGAGCAAAGCAGACATCTTTGTGGACCCAGTCCTTCATACAGCGTGTGCCCTGGACATTAAACACCACTGTGCAGCCATTACCCCTGGCCGAGGGCGTCGTAAGTCACTGTTCACTCTGACCCTCTCTGAGCTCTCGCTCAGACTCCCCTCTGAGAGTGCTCACAGCCGCTCTGTTCTACAGCTGCAGCTCAGCCACAGACAACGTCCTCTGGGGGCCTGGTTGATGCTGCGACTAGGGTTTTGTGGCAGAATGAATTTAAGAATAATCCTGCAGGTTTGAACTGACCTAGCCATGACCAGATGTATGCATCTGATGAAAAGGGAGAGTTGAGTTACATATCAGGAAAGCAAAACTTAGTCATCATCATGGCCCTCTTCCCCCTTTTCCAAACTAGAGCAGCTTCATCAGCTTTCCCAGTGGCCACACTGGGCAAATCCTGGTAGAAAGTTGTTTCTGAGCCAGATGTGCCCAGTAAAAATGAGAGAGGTTTTAAGGGCTGGGCAGCTGGCCTTGGAAGTTCAACATTCTTCTTCATGTGAAATCTTGGTTCAAGTTTCCTAGAATGGATTTAACTTTGTGTAGCCTCCAAATCTGCATTCTCTAGTGGTGAGGTCCCTTTCTCCCTAGCCTTACGGAAATTTCTGTTCTGGACAGTTTGACCCTTCTTACCCCTTTTCTTCCACAGAAATGTCCTGCCTCATGGAGGCCCTGGAGGATAAGCGGGTGAGGTTACAACCCGAGTGCAAAAAACGCCTCAATGACCGGATTGAAATGTGGAGTTACGCTGCAAAGGTAAGGACTGAGAGAGTCTCCTGAAACCACCTCTGTCGGTTCCCTACATACTCCACCAGCCTTCCTGTCCTTGCTGCGAGACCAGCAGGGAGGGGACTCAAAAAGTCTGTCCCTGTCCTTGAAGCTTCCCCAGCTTGACCACAGACAGGCAGACAGGAAGGACCATGAAAAGTCTTCACACCTAGATGGAAGGGAAGGGATCACAGCTGTCTTAAGTAGCAAGCACATCCCTCACCCGTTCTTCCAAGGGAACGTAGTCGGCTTGAAAGCCCTCGGTTCAGTGCGGCAGTGGAGAGCACCACGTTAGTCTCTTCCTCGCTCGCCCTCTCCACAGGTCAGTTGCTAAGTTGCTGCAGTGACTGCTGATCACTTCGTGTTGGCAAATGTCAGTGCTCAGATTCATGTTCATCTGAAACCTTCCTGCTCTATGCGATGAGTAGAGAAGCAGATAGACATAGCCATATGTCTGGGCAGACCCTCTCGGGTACCCAGGCTAAGTTGAGAACCGAAAAGAGCAGGTCCATGTCCCTGTGCACCTGGGAAGCCTTTGGACCCTGATTCTTCTGTTGTGGGCTGCATAGACATCCATTCGAGAAAGCAGAGAGGAGCCTGGGATGGAAACTGGCTAGACTGCAGGCCCACGACCGTGGGAGCGGAGCCGTGTGTTCAGTCGGCCTGAGTCATGTTTACACAGTGGGTTACCCCTGGGTGGCTCAGTCGGTTGAGCAGCCGACTCTTGATCTCAGCTCAGGTCATGAGTTCAAGCCCCGCTATGGGCTCCACGCCGGGTATGGAACCTCGTTGGAAAAAAAGCAAAACCATTTGGAGCATTTTGCCAGGGCCCCACCTGCGGTGAGGTCCCCAGTGTGAGGTCTGCCGCCAGGTTGGTGGTGGAGATCACCATGATGGACTGTATGAGATCCCGCCTCTTCGTGTTTGTCTGTGTTTTCTAATTTTATCAGTAGATATGCACCATATTACAACCAGGGAAAGGAATTGTCGCTCTGTGTTTGATTTTCTTGTCCCTCGTCTTCTCTCCCCAAAAGAAAGGGCATCAACTAAAGATTGAGGGGGGCAAGTTAGAGCTAGCACTGCCCCAGCGCAGTTCTCTCAGAGGCCAATGCTGCGGTGTGTCATTCCAGGTGGCCCCAGCAGATGGCTTCTCTGACCTCGCCATGCAAGTGATGACATCTCCGTCAAAGAACTACATCCTCTCTGTGATCAGTGGGAGCATCTGTATATTGTTCCTGATCGGCCTAATGTGTGGACGTATCACCAAGCGAGTAACACGAGAGCTCAAGGACAGGTAGAGCCACCTTGACCGCCAGAGGAACTACCTGTCCAGTGCCCGGTTTGTACAGCCCTCCTGTATAGTGTACCCACTCACCTCGTTCTTCTCAGAGGTGGCACCAACACCCATGTTAGAGCAGCCGCAGGTGTCCTCTGCGTTGTCCCGTCTCCGATTTCGCCCGTGTCCATGGTGCCCTCCTCCTCCTCGACCATTTCGTGCAGCAACAGCAGCTGGCCGCTTGGGTTATTGCCTGTATTGGCAAATTTGGGTTTGCCTGCCCGTAGGCAAGTCTCTCTCATACCAATGGAACTACCAGTACTTCCAGAACCAACTTACCTGGCCTGCAACTCGAATGATTTTTAAAAACAAAAACAAAAACAAAAACACCAAAAAAAAAAAATTTTTAAAGAAAGAAAAAAATGTATATAGTAACACATCTCCTCCAGGCTTGACTTGGGCAATGGGGTTATTTCTTCTGTGCGACTGGAAAATGAAGGCAGGACTTTAAGGGAAAACACACCACCCAATATGCTGTTACTGGGATGTCTTGCTCATTTCTCAAAAGCACCTTTGGACCATGTGGGGGCCATGGACTTCACCGAGGAGTGGGAAACCACTAACCAGCCTGCTCTGGGTCTTTTTTCTTCTGCTGAAACAGTGATGCCTTCCAGTTCCCACCTTAATAGAGCCACTGCTGGTCAAGACACCTCGGCCATGAGTATTCCTATGATCTCCTCACTTCAGCGAAGTAAAGCAAGCATGAGCTTCCCCAGGCCAAGGGTGAAGGGTTGGGGAGGAGATTGAAAGTGTGTGAAGCTGGTTAGTCACTTGATCCGTGCCGAGAGGCTGGACCCTGAGTCCCAGGGAGTAGGATCCCAGGCATCTTCCTCCTCCAGGCTAGCACAGGACTCAGTCACATTTAGACTGACCCTGCTGGGGGATAGCAATTGTTTTAGAAGGTCTGCCGGCAGGCAATGACCACACCACAGGAGGGAGCTCAGGGCGGGAAGGAGGGGCAGGGATAGATTCACTTTGCTTTATGTTTCAGGCAACAGTGCAGGTCGGAGACAGTGGCTTATAAAGATTTAGCGTGGTCTCAGGGTGTGACTGGCCGTCCAACCTGACCTTTCTGCAGGCTCAAGGCCGTCTTCCCAGACAAGTTCCCTCATGCCTCTTTGTGGAGAGGACTTGGAAAGTTACTGTGTTAAAAGATGGAGCCTTGTTCTCCGTGGTTTTTTTCCTTTCTGTCCATTTGCCGTGTACACCCACTGTAGTAGGCATTGGCCAAATGTTGTACTTTGATGATTCATCAGTCTTTCCAGAATCTGAGCTTGAGGGAAGCAGTTTTCCTGGCCTTCTTCCCTCGTCCCTCCAGTGTGGGATGACAGGTTTGGCGTGTACAGGGGAGTGGTGCAAGCATCAGGGTGCAGCCTGGCACACCTTGGTTTGAATTTGGGGCCTGGAGTCACAGTGGCTGCACAAGGGGGCGGCATGTACAGGAGGAGATATATTTATATAATATATATTTTATTAACCTGTTAGACGTCCACAGAGTATTATAAATCACGTGCCTAAACTGTCCACATAGACCATGGCGCCCTTCCTTGCCCTGCCCCTCGTTTGCCACCATCCACGTGGGCTGCGGGACCTACACCACATTTGTCTCCCCTGAAATGTGTTCGATACAAAGTGGGCCAGTGTGTGGATCAGTGGATTCAAATTACTTCTTGTCTAATCTGACTGACCTATATTTGAATACTGTGGTTTTCTTCTTTTTCTTGTTGCTACCCTTCCTGGAGGCAGTGGGGTCCAGAAACCGGCTCTGTTCCGCTGCCTACGGTACTTTACGTCACCAAGGGGAGCTGCTAAGCTGCTTGGTCCCCTCATTCATGCTCTTCGGGTCTTCCTGATTCTCAGCGCCTGTCCTGGGATTGAAACTCTTGGAGTCCGGGCAGAAGCCCCCTACTGCCACCATTGTGGCACTGAATTGGGCTGGTCTGCATGGTCCACCTCCAGGAGTCCCCACCTGAGCTGTGGGAGCTTGGGAATGAGAACGGGGGATGTCGTCTAAACGCAGGCCCCCACCAACGTGTCTGGCATGGCTTACAGGATAGAATAAACATTCACCGTTTGGTGAGTGTTTGGGTGCCGCTCTCCATCTGTACATTTTCCCTCCCAGTGTGTGTAAAACATCTCCACGGTTTAATGTGACTTGACATTTTGGTTTTGTCTTAGTTGTATACAGCAAATCTGGAAGCCTGAGAAGGAGTTTGATTCTTGAAGCATTTGTCATATTTAGAAATAGAATAAAAGGGATAATTTTGCCAGTATTTTCAGTTGCTTGTTGCCAGAAAGCATTTCACCATCCTGCTTGGAGTAGTTTCAGGTGACCCGTTCTTCAGAGTCCCAGATAGTGTCCTGAGCAGTTTCTACCTCCAGGGGGCCCAGCACCATCCGAACCTGCAGCTCAGCTGTCTCCGTTCTGTCCTTCATTGGAGCAGTACAGGTGCTGTGCCTCATGGGTTGCGGCCCTTATGGGTCAGTCGTGGATCAGTCAGCCAGTCGAGAGTAGTCGAGAAGAGGAAGCCGTGGCCCTAGTGGAGGAGCCGATGATGGACCTTGTCCTTATCTCTTCTGGTGTCTAGCCCAGATGGTAACAAGCATCAGGTGATTGGCGGGGGATGTCCCCCAAGGTCAAGGCTTCAGGCAGTTGCTGCAAATTACAGTAGCCAGGTAACTCATCTGGCCTTGTCAACTCACTCTAGCGTTTCAGCGAGTCCTACTTTGTGTGCTCCACGACTCTCGAGAGCCAGGAGGTTACTCTCCCAGGCTGGAGGCTCTGTGGTACAGGAAATCAGAAATACAGGCAGGCTGTCAGGAACAAGACTGTTCCTCTGAGTGTCTCTCACAGAAGGGTAGCTCTGAAGGTGCGACCTTTACTCTGGTGTGTCCTTGGCCGCCTCCTGCTCTTGCTGCTATCCTGAGACAAGTCTGCTAGCAAGACGTGCTGAGGCGGGAGCAGAGTAAAGGCTTCACCCTTTCACCCAGAGTAAAGGTTCACCCCAGCAGGAAAGCCTTCGTCTTCTGCATTCCCTGGACACCCTTGGCTGCCACTCCCTGTGCTGTGTGTCCAGTCGGCTTGTTCTGAGCCGGCCTGTCCCTGGAAGCCAGGGATTCTGGTACTCGGCAGGCATCGGCTTGAATTCCCTGCAGGCCTTCCGCTGTCTCATATCCTGCACTTCCTTTTCTGGGGGACAGTGAGCAGCTCTGTGGGGGGAGGGGGAGGGAGATTCTCCTTTCCCAGAAGAGGTGACAGAATGATCAGTTTCACTTCCTCCCATTTCCCGAAGTCACGTAATAAAAGAATCCAGTAGTAAAGAGGTCTGTATTACCCGTTTTTGTATCATCAGACAAAATGGAAAGGAACTTACATGCCGACTTCTATTTTCCCAAGAGAAGATTCACTTTCATTTGTGCGTATGACTTCCAGAAATGTCTCCCATCCTCCCCACCCCCAGGCTGTGGTACAGTTTCTTTCCCAAAGACCCCACTATAGTGAATCATCCAGGGAGAGGTGGATTGCTTCGTGGGACAGCCTCCTTACTTAGCTGGTCTCAAGTTCTTCTGAGGAAAGGCTTTCATTTCCTGTTTCTTGCCCTCTCCCACCAAAAACTGCCCACACCCTGAGTACAGCTTCTGTTCAGTGAGCAGATAACGGAGAGCCACAACGCCAGCCAGCCCAGCCCGACACGTTCAACCTAAATTTTGCCATAGAACAAAGAGGAGACGGCTGTTTGAGTTGTGTGCAGTTAGGTATATAATACTTATATTTCAGATTCTTACAAATTTGAGAAACCTGGCAGATCCTTTTTATTTCTTACCATTTGGACGGCACGTGCCGTCCAAATGGTAAGAATGCAGCGCTCCAGTAGCCTGAGTTTCTCCTGGGCCTTTAGGGACTCCCCTCTCTTCACCTCTTCTCTCCTGGTCTCGATTCCCAGGGGCTGTGGACCCAGACCTGATGTTCTGACCTGCCTCTTTCTTACTGTCTCCCTCTCTCATCTGTCTTCGGTCAGCCATCTCTCTAGTAGTCTCCTCTTGGTCCTCCTCTCCATTAGGACCAGGGTCACCTGTTAACGGCAGTCGAGTTCAGAGGTGAAGCCCCCTTCCTGCCCTGACCTCAGACAACAGATAAGTCCTACAAACCCAGACTGACTTTTCAGAGCGACCAGCTTTGCCGAGCCATCTAGTGAGGTCACCGTGGAGACCCAGAGACTGTTCTCGTCCAGAGCACAAGGTGGGACTCTCTGCTTGGACTGGGGTGACAGGATCCTGATGGTGGTTTCCTCTCCTCCCCTCTCCCAAGATCTGTCACCACACACCATTAGGGATGTTGGGATACGGGCAGTAGAGAGACCTGCCTAGGCAAGGAGAAAATTCAGATAGTGCCTCTATGTTGTTTTTGCCTTCCCCCATCATGGAATTGACACCTGGACCCCAGAGCCCAGCAGGCCTACGGCAGAGCCGGGGAGGCAGGAGCGGGCCTCCGGGGCAGGCTGCTGCACACGGGCCGGAGTGGCCGAGGCAGCGCTGGGCCACAGCAGGCTTCCCCAGCGGCTCCCGTGGCTCAGCGTGCCCAGGTCAGTCCCAAGCAGGAAGACAGACTGAACAGCAGATGCTGTGCGAGATCTTAGGCCTTGAACTTTTTTTTTTTTTTTTAAGAAAGAGAAAAGTAAAATTAACAAGCCTCTTTTGTAAATGATTTTTCTTTCTATGTATAAAATCCCGGCAGTTCCTTGTTTTTACATGTTCATGCTGTGTAATTTTGAGATGTTACTGAGATCCTGAACATAATGTGCATTTTTTTCTGTACAGATGAAATGGGAGAATTTAATAAAGAGTTTGCAGGTTTTTACTTGTGAAATCTTCTCTGGTGACTGGGAGGACCCCCAAGCCCCCTGCTCTGCCAGGAACAGCCGCGCAGCTCACTGCTCTCGCCGCTGACTCACCGCATTCGCTGGCGTCCTTTGTCTCCTCGGCTGGGAAGGTCAGGCAGAGTAGGACGCGGGACCTTTGGAGGAGAGCCAGAGGCTAGATCCAAGGTTTTTGACTGTCAGGCTGAGGTGCTAGGAATGATTCACTTGACGAATGTGTTTAAGGCACAGCCTAAGGCCCTCCTGGGGAGAGCTCACAGCCGGGACCTGGCCTTACAGATGGCACACGTGGATAGCACCAGTGGCTCACGGCCACCTTTCCGCTGGGGGCAGAACTAGGCAGTGTTTCTTCTCCGTGCCCTACCCGGTCCCCGTTGGTCAGCACTCGCCTCCCCATCCCAACAGCCTAGTGACCTTTGTGACCCTATTCCTGAGCCTTCTGCCTCCTCCACTGTCCGCAAAACTAATTTGCATCAGGGTGTTATGGAGTCCTCGCTTTAAGGAGTTGGCATGATAGCAAGGATTTCTCAAAGTAGACGTGTGTACTGGGATTCAAGTGCTGGGATGCGCAGTGAGATGACTGGGGGGTCCTGGGACCAGGGTTTCTTCTCAGATCCATTTTTGGCAGGTGCCACATAGGTGTAGCGTAGAGGCCAGGAGAAGGTGAAGCGTGAAAGACAGGCGGAAGAGGGCTTGGGGGCCTTTGAGCCTGAACTACAAACACTATGTAGGGAGCTCTGGGCAGCCATCACCCTGAATGGGAGGAGTCTGGGGCCAGATGCTCTAGAGTCCTGGAAAGGCTGTCCCCCTGTGGTGTGAGCGTGGGAAATGAGGGGCTGGGTTCAGGCTCCTTGTCACTGGTATTCCCACAGAGAAGTGGGTTACCTTGCCCCACTGCACCTGGCCCCTCGAGGGGACACTACTGTGGTCATGGGGACCATGCTGCCTTAGCAGTCTGATCGAATTCCCCTACCATAAAATTTTGTGTAATATTTCTGATAAAAGATCCTTGACCAACTTTAATCTTCAGAGGCATTTGGCATTTGTTCTCAAATTTGTTCTCAAAAGGGGGTGTAAGAAGGGGCGCCTGGGTGGCTCAGTCGGTTGTGTCTGCCTTCGGCTCAGGTCATGATCCTGGAGACTCGGGATGGAGCCCCACATCTGGCTCCCTGCTCAGCAGGGAGCCTGCTTCTCCCTCTCTCGCTCCGTCTGTGTTCTCCTTCCCTCTTTCAAATAAATAAAATCTTTAAGGGGTGGGGGGTAAGAATGAAAGGATTTTAACCAAAAAGAGGAAGACCTCAGATACCCAACTCTCAAGCAGATAAAGAAGTAAGAGAGGGTTTGTGTGACCCGGCTTTCTCAGTTGGTGAGCAGCAAAACATGATTGTCTGCCTCAGCCATATGTGTTTCCCTCTGACAAGCCAGATTGGCTTTGGGACCTGTATGCCCATCAGGCTCCAGGCTGGGGTGGCTGACCTGTCCCCAGAGTCTGCCGACCCTGGACAGGCCTCCCCAGGGCGCTGTTGGTCTTGGTCCTAGGATCCCACCTCCCTTGCCCAGAACAACCAACAGCACAGCAGTATCTTCTCAAATTTCCTGTATTTTTGGAGAAATGTGGGCAGTCTGGAAGAAAAAGGGGCACCTATAGGGTAACAAAAGACAGCAGACTAGAAGGAAGCTGGCTGGAGTAAGGAGGGAGGGTCTGGTACACAGGCAGCCCCTCGGAGGACGTGGGACCCACTGGGACTTGGCCTCTTGTGCTCCGCAGCCCTGGCAGGAGGGCACCTTCTGCCCACCTGCGCCCTGGAACCGAGGGCTGCTCCTTGACCCTGTCGGGTGAGTGGCTTCGTAGGGTGGGCCCAACGGCAGCGATTCCTCCAGAGGGCAGCCAAGATCAGGCCATAGATCAGAGCTGCACCCAGCAGTCCCAGGTAGCAGTTGGCCGCAGCAGTGAGGGTCTGTTCCAGCTCTGCTTCGAGGGAAAGGGCACAGCGTGAAAGTCGGACCCACCTGCCCACCCTGCCCGCCCGCCCCACCACCCCCGATGCTGCCTCCTTCTGAAGAGGTCTCTCTGGCTCACTTGATCCTCTGAGAGGTTCTATTACTCCCCATTTTTACAGATAAAAAAGACAAGATCTGTAAGGGCAAAGATGGTTTGGACTAGGGGTGGTAGATGGGTGGGTGGATATGAGGCCAAGAAAAGGTAAGACTTACCCAAGGGGCCAGAGAGTTGGCAGAATTGGGACTAGACCCCGTTGCTGTTGACCAGGTGGGTCTACACTCTTTCCAGCCAGAATCTGAGGGCTCACCTCTGACTCTGCATGGCCCACAGGAGCTTCCCAGACCCTCCTGCAGGAGGGCCCCTCTGATCTCTGAGCTCTTGAATATCCTGTGTTCCTGCCCCTAAAACCCTTAGGGCAGTTTTCCTTGCATTTTATACATTGGCTCAGTGTCTGACCAAGCCTTCTAGACTCAATAATGTTCAGACTGTTCCAGTCATCTCTCTGCCCTGGGAAATACTTAGTACCCCATAAATGCTTGCTGAAGGGGTCGTTTTCAGTGAGAAGTCACGGCCTTGCTACCTCGGGGGTCCAGGTCCCAGACAGTGTCTGGGAGTCCATACCTAGACAAGTGTGTCCACTCTTCTCGTGAGTCTCATTCCCATTCTTCAGTTCCAGCCTTCTGCAACCTGGAACCGAGAAGATGGTCTTCAGAGAGCTTCCCTCTGCTGTATCCCCCAAAGGAAATACAGGCATTCACCACTAGAGAATGGAGAAGCCAGGAGTGATAGAGTGGGTGTTAGGGCTTTGGGGGTAGTTGGTCCCATGTCACTGCATAGGCTCCAAAGCCAAGTCCAGGCTTCACCCAGAAGCTGGGGCAGAGCCAGGGTTCTTGGCCACACACAGCAGTGCCTATCTTGACCTAACAGTTTGTCAGGAGGGAACCAGTGTCATTGTTCCAGATGGTTGCATCAGGGGGCTGGAGCACACCCCCTAGGGCCTCTGTTCTCACCCTGGCCACAGGGCAGGGGCAGCACAACTTCTGAGACTCCAGTCTGGTGCAAGCCTCGGCAAGTCACAGAAATTCCTGCCATCTCCTGAGGCAGCTGCAGCCAGCTGACCACGGGCTCCCCAGCTCCTCCAGTGGTGTCCTCATCCTCCTGGTATCGGCCTTTCAGGACCCAGGAGACCCTGAGAGGGTCAGGGTTGTGTCCTAGGGCCACACAAAGTACATGGAAGGGAGGGCCAGAGGCTGGGATGAACAGGCTCAGCTCAGGTGGCTGGAGAGCTGGGGCTTCCTTCCTAGCTGCAGGGAATGAAGGGAAGAAGGATGTCACCCAATCCCACCAGCCTCTTCCAAACTCCTAGTCCATACGCATCTCCTTCCCTCTGGGTCCTCTGGAGACACTTCTTCCCTTCCTCTACGGCCATTCCTTACCATTCTCGGAATCTACCTTCCCCAACAGCTAGCCTTCTGGCCAGAGTATGAGCTCTGAGCTTGTCTCTGCCACCCACTTGTCATCCTCTGGGCCTCCAGTATCCTTCCTACAGAGCAAGGGAAAGGAATGGATTTAATGTTCTTGATTAGGCTTCCCCTCCCAGGCCCAGAAGTCTGGGCCTAACGTGTCTGTGTCCATCCCCAAATGCTCCCAGTCGAATCCACCATCCAGAAGCTTGAGGCTTTTCTCTGGGGGCCCTCTAGGCTTCTGGGCCTTCCTTCCTTTCCACTGGTCCCTACTGACCAAGGCTTCCTCCAAGCGGGGCTCCACCATCTGCACCTTTCTGCCCACTGCCCCCCACTCCACTGCAGTCTGATGAGGGGCACCAGATCCCTACACTCTTAGACTCACCCTGATAGAGCAGACGGGTACCTTCTCCAAAGACATACTGGCCTGAAAACCACAGGGCACAGTAGTAGGTGCCCTCGTCAGCAGGACTGGCATTGCCCACGATAAGGAGTGCGGCATTCTTGGCTGGGTCCATCTCCGCCAGGAAGCGAGGATTCACACCCAAACCATAGGTTGGGGGCATCCCTTCTTGCTGACTTAACAGGAAGGTGGGGCCACTCCCCACCAGCTGCTGGTACCAAGATACAACATGAGCGCTGGCAGGGCTGCCCAGCACCACACACCAGATCTGTGGATTGCCTTGTCCACTCAGCACAGAAGACTGAGGCTGGAACAGAGAGGGCTGGGAGACCTCTGAGGCACCTGCAGAGGCAGAGAAGATAGTGACCCGCTCGAAACAACTCAATGGTCATTTATAGACACTGTCAGCTCAGCCTAGCATACGGTCTTACGAGAGGATCATTTGACAATACCTGTCAAGACTGCAAATCATCATACTCTCTGATCTGGCAATTTTATTTCCATAAATTTATCTTATGAAAATAATGGAACTCATGTATGGGTACATCTACAGAGATGATTATTACAGTATTCATTTGAATAATGAGAAAATAAATATAATTAGAAGAGGTTACATTTTTAAGCAAGACACCCAAATGATGCAGTACTCTGCAGTTCCCCCCAAGAGGAAAATGTAGAACTCCCATTTCTGAAGACAATGGAGTAGTTGGCAGCCAAATAATGTTCCCTATGAAAATGACTTAGGAAAGCCAGAGAACCAGGTGATATTTCAAGTATAAGAGAGTTACAGAAGCAACAGCATCCAGAAGGGTTAAGGTTATGGAGAAGGGAGAACCATGGAGATGCAAAATGACTATGTTCAGCCCCTTGCATTTGCTGACTCTGGCAAGAGGTTAAGGGTCCAGGTTTTCCCCAGGCAGAAGGGTTTTTACAGTAAGACAAGAGAAATTAGCAGAGGTTTTCATAGTCTCATAGGCTGGAGTGACAAAATCGAAGGCTTGAGAAGCCTCAAATATAAGTTCAGATTTCATGCCATTTTCTGAAATCTGAAATTTTACAAGATGGGAACCTTGAAAGCTAAGCCCAAACCTCTGTAAAGCAGAGCAGAACTCTGCAGAGTCACAGTGCTGAGAAGATAAAAGACCAGACTTCAACCTCTCTCAAAAGGAAAGACCCTGCTGTATACACCAGGATTTCAGTCGAAAACCCCAAAGGGGTATGCCCTAAGAACAAGGCAAGTGAGAAGTAGATGGAACTCTATTAAAACTGCTTCCTGTAGACTTCCAACTAATTATAGAAGGAATTCTGGGATTAGCCCCCATTTGACAACCACGGCAGTAATAATTGCTCAGGCAAGAAGCATCAATAGATGAAGAGTTTTGGGCTTTTGGTTTGGTTTGTTTTTGGTATGTGCTTTGAGATCGGTAGCTTCATAGATTCTAAATATCCTGCCCCAAAGTACTTGTTAACCACAGAGAGGGAAAAAAATAGTAAATTATAGTGGAGAAACTTGGCAGACACAGTCTAACCACATGATCAAAATTAATATCAGCAGGAATGGGGCAAATAGTCATCCTGTACCTCCTGATATAATACGACCTCCTTTCTGTGGTATTCCTGTCAAAAATGCAAAACCTGAATCTAATCCTGAGGAAACATCAGACAAACCCAAGCTCAGAACCCAAGTTCTACAGAATAACCTGATAAGAGCCTGCACTCTTATCATGAAAGGTGAAGACTAAAGGAACTGTTCCACATTAAAGGAGACAAAATAAAGAGATATGGTAACTAAATACAGTGTGATCCTAGATTGGATCCTGGACCATATTTTTTGTTGTTGTTCTAAAGAATACTGGAGAGAGAAATGGTGAAATTTGAGTAAGATTGGTAGGTTAAGTCCCATATTAATGTCGGCTTCTTGATTTTTTTTAATTTAATGAGACTTTTTATTTTTTTAATTTTTTTTTAAGATTTTATTTATTTATTTGACAGACAGAGATCACAAGTAGGCAGAGAGGCAGGCAGAGAGAAAGGTGGAAGCAGGCTTCCTGCAGAGCAGAGAGCCCTATGCGGGGCTCGATCCCAGGACCCTGGGATCATGACCTGAGCCGAAGGCAGAGGCTTAACCCACTGAGCCACCCAGGCGCCCCTAATGAGACTTTTTAAATTAACATTTAATGTGGTGTTTCACGGGTACAGGGGTTCTTGATTTTGATTAATGTACTAACTTTGTTACACTAAGACGGATGTCAGATATAATGAAAGCCAGAAGACAGTGAAAAGACATATTTAAAATTCTGGGGTGAAAAAAAAAACCTGCCAACATAGTTTTTTGTTTGTTTGTTTGTTTGTTTGTTTTCCTAATGAAAACTGCCTCTAAAATAAAGGTATTCTCAGATAAAAGCTGAGAAAATTTGTCACTACGAGACTTTCACGAAAGGAATCCTAAAGGGTAATCTTCAGGCAAAAGAAAAGTGATCCTAGATTGAAATAAAGAAATGCATGAAGGAATGAAGAGTGCTAGTACAGGTAAATATGTGGTTAAATAAAAGAAAACAATGTCTGCACAAAGCACTACAAATGTCTTTAAAATATACATTGACTTATAATGTCTTACCAGATCAACACAAAAGGTTGGAGGATACAAGTGAAGTTAAAGTACTCTAATATCCTCACCATACTGGAGACGTGATCAACATAATGTTATATTAGATCATGAAGTCAGAAATGCATATTTTAATCTGTAGGAGTAGCCACTAAAAGAATAATAAAAGAATGTATAACTAGCAAGTTTTTTTTTAAGATTTTATTTATTAGCAAGTTTCTTTTAAGATTTTTTTTAAATTTATTTGACAGAGATCACAAATAGGCAGAGAGAGAGGAAGGGAAGCAGGCTTCCCGCCAAGCAGAGAGCCTGATGCAGGGCTCTATCCCAGGACCCTGAGATCATGACCTGAGCCGAAGACAGAGGCTTTAACCCACTGAGCCACCCAGGCGCCCCTAATTAGCAAGTTTTTAGAGGAGGGAATAATATTTTTTAAAAGAATCCAAAAGAAGACAACAAGTGGAGAGAAAGGAAGAAGAAACAAGCAATAGAGTAGATATAAACCCAAATATATTAGTAATTATGCTAAATATAAGTGGAATAAATTCTATGATTAAAAGACTTAGAATGGATCAGAATCTAACAACTATAACCTGCAAACCAAAGATACACCCTAAATACTAGGACATCAAAACATTGAAAGTAAAAATACTAATATAACTGGTATAGTTATACTATCAGACCAAGTAGACTTTAAGGCAAGAAATAGTATGAGATAAAGATGTACACTTAATGATATAAAGAGGTCATTCTACCATAAATCCAGCTATATCATATAATCATATTAAATGTAAGTGGTCTAAACACCTCAACTGAAAGTCTGATTAGATAAGAAAATAAGCCCAACTATATTCCATCACAAGAAACACACTTAAAGACAAAAATATTTTAAAAGAGAAAAGATGGAAATGAGATACTATGCTACTATGATTAAAAAAAAAAAAAAAACTGAAGGGGCAGTTTCAAAAGAAGATAAAGCTGATTTCAGGACAAAGACTATTACTGGTGATAACTTTTATTTCATAATTTTAAAGAACTTAATTCAACAAAAGAATTTAACAATCCTAAAGTTATTCATATAATGGAGTTTTAAAAGAAGCAAAAGTAATAGAACTGCAAAGAAAGGCAAACAGATCCACAATAAAAGCCAGAGATTTCAACACCCATATTTTAATATTTGATAGAAGTACACAGAAAATCACTGGGAATAAAGATGACTTGAATAGTATCATCAAACAACTTTTTTCTTTATCATCAACCGATTTACTAAATGCTATTTATAGAACAATCCACCCCAACAACTGCCAAACACACTTTCTTTCAAATGTCCATGGAACTTTTATCAATGTAGATCACATGCTGAGCCACAAGTCTTAATACATTTAAAAGGATCCAAGTCACACAAATAATGTCCTTGGACCATAATGGAATTAAATTATAAATCAGTAACAGAAAGATATTCCAAAAGTTTCCAAATGTTTGGAAAATAACATATCTCTAAATAACCCTTTCAAAAAATGCTTTAAAACTTGATTGTACACTTTAAGTGAGTGAATTGTCTAACATGTATACTTCACAGAAGTTGTTTCTAAAAACACCACATAGGGTGGCTCAGTGGGTTAAGCCGCTGCCTTCGGCTTAGGTCATGATCCCAGGGTCCTGGGATCGAGCCCCGCATTGGGCTTTCTGCTCAGCAGAGAGCCTGCTTTCCTTCCTCTCTCTGCCTGCCTCTCTGCCTACTTGTGATCTCTGTCTGTCAAATAAATAAATAAAATCTTTAAAAAAAAAATAAATAAAAAATAAAAAATAAAAACACCACATAAGGAGGACACCTGGGTGGTTCAGTGGGTTAAGCCTCTGCCTTCAGCTCAAGTCGTGATCTCAGGGTCCTGGGATCAAGGCCCATGTCGGGCTCTCTGCTCAGCAGGGAGCCTGCTTCCCCCTCTCTCTGCCTGCCTCTCTGCCTACTTGTGACCTCCCTCTCTGTCAAATAAATAAATAATAAAAATAAAAAATAAAAACATAAGGACTGGAAAGGAAGAAATAACATTTTATTTGTAGACAACCTAGTAGTATTCATATTAAGTTTTTAAGTGTATAGACTATTAGAATCAATAAATGAGTTTAGTGAGGTCACTGGATATAAAGTAAAGATAGATAAATTGTATTTCTACAATAGGTACAAGTGAACAGTGAAATTAATAAAATAATACCTGTGATAACATCAAAAACATCAGATACCTAGATAGAATCTAATAAAAATATGCAAGTTCTCTACATTGAAATCTACACATATTATTGAAAAAATTGTGAAAATGTAAATAAGTGGAGGGATACACTATGTATGTGTATTGAAACATTCAGTATTTTAGTGGTCATTTCTTCCCAAACTGGTACACAGTGTCAAAACAGTTCCAATCAAGCCCCAGCGGGTCTTTTTGTGGAAAATGATGGCTTATCATTCTAAAATTTTTATGGAAGTATAGAGTTCTAGAATCTCTAGGGCAATCTTGAAAAACAGCAAAGCTGGAGGACTTAAACTACCAGGAATCAAACCTTTAAAGTACTGATGTTGTGCGAACAGTTGTGCTATTCGTGCAAGAACAGACAAGGGGTCAGTGGAACACGGGACGGAATCCAAAACACGTATACAGTTTTATGACAAAGGGATACTCCAAGGCTATGGAAAAGGGATGGTCCTTTCCATCAATGATGCTGGGTCAACTTGATATGCACAAGAAGTGAATTCTAACCTCCATTCTTCCTAGATTACAACGAAAAAGCAGTTTCAGCTGGATTGTATATCTAAATCTGAAAGGTAAACCAGTAAAGCTTAGAGGAAAATACAGAAGAATATCAGCATAAATCTGAGAAATCTTAGTAGGCAAAGATTTCTTAAATACAATGCCCAAAAAAAAGTCAGTTATAATGGAAAAACATTTATTCAAACAACATTAAAATTGGAGCCTCTGTTTATAAGAAGACACCATTAACAACAGTGAAAAGATCCACGGAACAGAGGATACTCACATACATAACCAACAGAGGAGTTCTATTTAGATTATATACAGAACTGCAAACCATTAACAAGAAGTCAAACAAACCAACAGAAAAACAAACAAAAATCCAAACAGGCCCTTCACAGAACAGGATGTCCTAAAGGTCAGTACACGTGAAAACTCGCTCACTCCCATTCTTCATCAGGGAGACAGAAATTAAGACTCCAATGAGATCAGACACCTGAATGGCTAAAACGAAAGGTTCATTTTGTCAAAGATGTGTAGCAATCAGAATCCTCTTCCACAGGTATGTGTCTGTCTTGGTTCTTATCCCCAAATCTGAAGGAAATTTTAAAACCATTAATAGCAGTAGTGTGTGGGTTTGCAATCATGGGAGGTCTTACACCTCTTAATATTTCTACCTGTTTAATTGTATTTTTCAGGCTTTACTATTACAGTCAGAAATGAAGTTTCACATTTGGAAAAGAACAAGCCCCTCTCCCACCACACTCGACGACCACAACTAGTATGTAATAGGATCTCCTGGCCTTCATCTCTCCCGACCTTTCTGCAGCACTGACCTTGACCACTTCTGTGCCAAAGCCTTGTCTGCCCTCAGCACCAGCACCTACCCCTTCTCTTCTCCCCTCCCATCAGTCCTTCCAGTGCCTCTTAGTCCCTCCTGTTTCTCCCTCCCCTTCTCTCCTGGCTCCTGTACAGCGCACCTGGGGTAGCTCTTCCCTGAGGACTCCGTTTCTCTCTGCTCTCCTTTCCACAATTAGTGCGAGGAAGATTCCCCACTGCCTCCATTCCCCAACCTGGGAGTTTCCTCAGCCTGCAGACAAGTCTCTGTCTCCAGGTTCTGCCAATCCTGTCACCCAGCTCTCCTCCCTTCCACCAAAGCCTCCCCAGCCTGGGTCACCTCCTGCCTCCGGGATGGCCCCCAGCCTCCCACTGCTGCTGCTGACGCCTCTGTCCTGCCCCAGCCCATCCTCCTGCCAGGAACTCCACCCCTGCCACCAGATCCACAGCAGCTCCCAGGTCAGCTCCCCATCTGCTAGCTGTGTGACCATGGACACCTTAGGTAAGCCTCAGAGTCACTGAAAAGTGAGGGTTGTAGAAGCTACCCCACAGAATCATCATAAATATTAAATGAGATAGTCTAGCATACAACGACTGCTTAATCAATGTCACAAATTTCTACTATTTCTGTTCAGCTCCTTGGGACAGCACCCCGCAAGGGATCCGTCCCCCAAGTACCGGTCCAGACCCTCTCATCCCTCAACTGCCCTTCCCAAGGCCCTCTGTCCCCCGCCCCCCCCTCCCCCCCCCCCCCCCCCTCTCGGAGCCCTCTTGTCACTCAGGCCTGGGTTCACCACAGGCGCTGGGAGTGCGGGGTCCACGGGGCTGTGCACCAGCCGCCCTCCCACCCACAACCCACTCCTTCTAAGCTCCGAATCCAGGGTCTGTCCCTTGGGCAGCCCTCCACCCCTATAAAACGGAGAGAGAGCCCTAACTAGGCTTTGGGACAGGGAGAAGGGGCGACCTCACCAGAGACAGAGAGCAGTAGCCCGACACACAGGGCGCAGCCCCGCCAGGACGCGGGGCCCCTGCTCGGAAGCTCTGGTCGGGTTGCCATCTCCGTAACGGCGCTGGGTCTGAATGGGGCTTGCAGCGCTTCTCAGACCGAGCGCTCCCCGAGGCCCCAGAGCCGGGGCTTGGGGTCTGCTTCCTCCCTAGGTCTGGAGGGTCGGGGGCAGACACAGGCGCAGCGCAATTGCGGGCCAACCCCAATATCCGGGTCTCTCGGAAAGCCCCTGGGGGCGTGGGGTGGGGCATCTGAGTGTTAGGTCGAAGCACAGAAGATTACTCGGTTTGCAAGAAACAGAAACCCAGATACAACTGGTTTAAGCAAAGGAGATGGGTTTTTGGCCCCTAAAACACGTCCTGAGGACGTCCCAGCTTCAGGAATGGCTGGATCCGCAGGCCAGGACGTGATGTCAAAAACACATTTTCCTTCTCTCCTTTCCTTCTCTCGGTTCTGCATCCATCTTTCCGTCTGGTTCTCAGGCAGGCTCTCCACATGTGGTGGACAGATGCCCACCAGCACCCAAGGCTCCCGTTGGTCTGCATAGCCACTCCAGGGAAAAGGAAAATTCTCCTTCCTATTACTTAGAGCCCAGGTCCAAGGCTGATACTGGTTGACCTAGCCTGGTTCATGTTCAAGCCAATCACTGTGATCAGTGGGCTGGCCGGGCTCTCTGGAAGCTGGGGCTAGGGGTGGGGGGGTGAGGGTGCAATTTCAGCTGATCTTTTGAGGACTTCAGGTCATAAGATGGTGGTTCTCCGAGGAAAGCTGGATGCAATTCCCAGAGGGTCCTGGGTAGGCGTTTACCTGTCCAAAGGGGTTTATGTAGCAAAGAAGGAGGGACCACTCCTGCCCAAGAGAGGCCCCTCTGCAGGCCCCTTCCTGCTTCTCAGTTCACTAGCCATGTCCCGACACCCACCCACAAAGCCTCCACCTCACTGTGTTGCTCTCTAAGGGGCCCCTCTGCTTTCTGATGTGTCTTAAGAAGTGGGGAGCAGTTTCTCCTGTGGCTCAGGGAGAAAAGGCCTGATATCCTGCTCACCAGAGCCCTGAGGCACCCTTCCCCGCCAGAGACCAAGAACTCCTGGCTCTGTGATCACAGTCAAGATAACAGTGGAGTCAGTTATTCCCTCATCTTGCCTTCGGGTTGGGTTGCTGGGTGGATGTAGCACCGCCGCTGTGAAGTACTTAGCACACACCTGGTTGAAACACCTGCTGAATGAGGTAGGTTGTATTTGCCAAGATGGCGGCCACAATGCATCCCACCCTACACACCCTTCCTTTTTTCCACTGTAGTATTTGTTTGGTAAGTTGAGATATAATTGACACACAGTAAACTCCATGTATCTAAAGTGTACAGTTTGGTAAATTTTGTCATGTATATGCCTGTGAAACCATCACCACTATCAAGATATTGAACATATCCATCAACCCCGAAAGTTTCCTCCTGCAAACTTTGGTGTGCTTTCTGTCATCACAGGTTTGTTTCTATTCTTTAGGTTTTTATATAAATTGAATCACACTGTTCCTGCACTGTTTTGTCTGGCTTCTTTCACTCAACCTAATAACTTGGAGAGCCATCCATGCTGTTGCATGTATCACTGGTTCATTTTTATTGATGAATTGTATGTCACTGTATACCAAATTTACTTCTCTGTTCACTTGTTGATGGACATTTGGGTTGTTTCTCATTTTTGCTAGTTCAAATAAAGCTTCTGTGAACATTCACTTTCCTTCCCCTCGGGTGGTTCCCTCCGAGTTGCATAGCTGGGTCATATGGTAAGTGGATATTTCACTTCCGAAGAAACTGCCCAGCCCTTTTGCAAAATGGCTGTGTGAGAGCATCCTTGACAACACTGGGTATATTCAGTCTTTTTGTTTAGAGATTCTGGTAGGGATGGTTTTAATTTGCATTATCTAACAACTAATGATGTGCTTGGGCTGCCATGTTGGGGGGAAGTCAAGCAGCGGCAAGCAGAGCCTATGTGCAGGGGTTCAGCTGATGACTGGCCGCCGCTGGAGACATGTAAGTAACCCTCAGGTGCTTCCAGCCCCTAGCCTTCAGGCCACCCCCATGGGTGCCCCATGGAGCAGAAACGAGCTGACCCACCAAGCCTGGCTCAAATGACAGATTCCTGAGTAAAACAGATGATTGGTGTCTAAAAATCCCTGTTGGGGAGGTGTGCCGTGGTAGATAGCCAAAACAGTGAGTCCGCTGGGTGTGATGCTCGTATCACCACTGACCTAGATCTGTTCATCTACCCATGGGTTTGTATTTGTCTTTTCAACAAACTCGCAGCTCCTACAAGACAGACATCAACGCTTTGTTTCTGGAATCCAACCCCTGAGCCTGGCTTCTGACTTTCATTGCTTCTCCGGTCAGGTCTCTGCCTTCGACCCTCGGACCCGTCACCTTCTCTTAGCCACCTCTCTGAAGAGCCAGGGTAGAGGTGTGGAAGAGCTTAGGCTCTCCCGTGGGGCTGCCTGGATTTGAATCCTGTCTCTGTGATTTCTTTTCTAAACTGTAAGAAGTTAACCAATTCTTTAAACTCTCTGAGGCTGAATTTCGTCTTCTGCAAAATGGGAACTGCAGTTACTCCCCTGAGAGTAGTTATGAGTCTAGAACGATCTGTGTAAAGAACTTAGCAAACTTAGCCTGGTCCCTGCTGCTGTTATTTTTACTAGTGCTGTGTGAGGACCATCTGGATATAAACATAACCTCCTCTTGTTCCCTCCCAGGGGGCTTGTCTGCCCAGCTCCTGGGGGAACAGCCTCCAGCATGTGGTAGGAGGAGTCGATTGTTCTAGATGTTTTACAGACATGAAACCACTTGGGTTTTGGTTTTTTTTTTTTAGTCTGGATTCTCTCCTTAGAGGTCATGTATTGCCAGGCAAAATGTTCCGCCCCTCTGAAACAGCTTCCTGTGCCCCGAAATGGGGGTAACGCTGTCTCCCAAACAGGGGTGAATGTAGGGATATGTTATAAGGCACCCCCCTGACACAGGTCCCTGATAAATTAACACTAGTTAACACTAGTAACATTTAACTACTTAACACTAGTTAACACTAGTAACATTAACCCTGTGATACAGCAGGTAACTAATTATTTTGGAAGGGAAACAAGGGTGGGGGCTGACTTGTTAATGTATATTTTTTGGAGCGTTTAAATTTTTGGATGACCTATATTGTTTTAAAAATTAAATCTATATTTTAATAAATTTTAATAACAATACATTTATTAATCACAATTTAAACCTGATACACTGTGTGCCACATAAATACTTTTATCGCAATTTATAGGTGAAGAAACTGAGTCACAGCCAGTCACAGCCAGCCGAAGCCAAAACAGGATGAGAGCCCAGGTCTGCCTGATTCCAAAACCCATGGCCTTCCCTTGCACCTACCGTCTCCTTTCTGGGTAAGTAGCGCTTTGGTGGTCAGGCGACATAATGGCTGGGAGTAGCTTCCTGGTGAGAAGCTGGCCCATGCCTGATCCCCCCTGGGCTTCTGAAGATGGGGCATCTCGCCAGGCAGTGTTCCAGCGAGGAGTCCTAGCCTCGCCTTCCCATGTTTGCTCCTTGGTTCCCCATCCCCTGGACAGCAGTCATGTCTAGGACTGAGCTGGCTGTTTCCGAGGTGCCGACAACTACCCACCACCCCCTCTCTCCCAGGTCCTGTAACTCAGGGTCTCTCATGAGCAGTGGCCCCATCCCCAGAACCCAAATGGGGGCATCCATAGGGTTGGGGAAGTTTGGGAGGGCTTTAGCAACCCCTTAATCTCCATCCACCCCTTCCCCCTAAATAATGAAACAGCTTCACGACAAGTCCTCAAACCCCCCTTCCTGACACTCTTCACTCATTTCCACCAGACATACCACATGTGACCATGGCCGCTGGTGAGAGCTCAGTTTTCTGACCATGTCTCTGCTATAGCCTGCCTCCTGTTGGCCCTACAGAAACTCAAACCAAGTATTCCAGAAACAGCTACCAGAAACAACTGCATTTTTTAAAAAGATTTTGTTTATTTATTTGACAGACAGAAGTCACAAGGAGGCAGAGAGGCAGGCAGGGGGCAGGGGAAGCAGGCTCCCCGCTGAGCAGAGAGCCTGACATGCGGGGCTCCATCCCAGGACCCTGAGATCATGACCCGAGCTGAAGGCAGAGGCTTTAACCCACTGAGCCACCCAGGCGCCCCGACAGTTACATTTAAAAAAAAAATTACATAGCTGTGGGGCGGGGGTGGGCTTGGCCCCATCATTTCGCACTTGGGGAAACTGAATGGGGACAGGCAAAGACCTGCCCCTGGACAGTAGTGGCCCAGGCTCTCCCAACTCCTAGTCACCCACCAGTGCCCTTCTGCCTGAAGGCCCTGCCCCTTGCAGGGAACTGGAAAACAAACAACGACAACACAAATAACACTCTACCTCCAGGGCTTATGAATGTTCCTGCTAGAGAGGAGAAGATGGAGTGAGGGTTAGGGTTAGAGTTAGGGTTATCTGGCAATCTGGTTAGCACCAGATTCATATCAAAAATGAGGGAAGCCTAAATAAAATCTTTAATAAAAAAAAATGAGGGAAGCCATGGTTATTCCATAACAAGGTCCTCTCGAGGCCAACAGGCAGACGTCCGCGGGCCTCGGGCACTGCATGCGTGTGTGGAGTGAGGGCAGGGAGAATATTATGGCCACATTTTTGAGTCTTTCTGAAAAGATTAGGTCTAGTCACTTAGCTGTGCATGGAAAGAGACTTAGAAAACAATGAAAGAAAGAGCCGCCCTAACTCTGATGTAGGAGTTTCTCAACGTGGGGCATCAGCTTGTCTGGTGAGAGCAGCTATCCTCAAAGGGAAGATGAAACAGATTTTGCTCAATGACACACTATGGACATAACTGTCCAAGTGTCTCAAAGTGCTCAGAGGAGCACCAGGGACACAGATAAAATTACCTTTAAAGGGAATAGAAGATTCTGAGACAGGACCAGTGTCAGGTGTGAAACAGGAAACCCACAGCCCAGAGCTGTTCTAGCTGATCCTTCCGCAGATAAAACCGAGTGGC